GTTAGTGACTCCAGAGGGAGCTGTGTGAAGTCTGATAAATGACCTCAAGTGATGTGACTTGAGTCAGCATTAATGGACGACTTCAAGTTTGAAAAACTAAAAAATCTGGTGGTATAGAACCTGAGCAGGAAGTGCTGTCTCCATCTACATTTGTCGAGTGTCCAATTCAACTCACCATTTATTCTGAGAGCTGACTGGAACTGGTACTCCTCAAAGAGGATCTCATTCATCGACTCCTGAATGGAAGAGAAGTTGAAGTACGGCTCGGTGATGATGACGCTGGTGTCTGCAAACTCCACCTGGTCCCAGAACACACAGAACCACCAGCAGAGGAGGAGGCGATGAAATCAGATTAGATGAGTTGACAAAGCGATTAAAAACATTTCCCATATTTCCACACAAAAAGCGAAGAAAAACAAAGCAAAGTATAAACCTTAAACATCTCCTTTCCAAACAGATGATCCCACACTTTTCTCTGGACATCCCAGTTGACGAGATAACCCTGAGGAGAAAGAGCAGGAGACCACACATGGAACTATTAAAAACCTGCCCAGACGTGACCCGCAGCCTCCACATGTGGTTACACTCTCTCACCTTCTGGAAGGGGAGGATGTAAAAGAGACCTGAAGGATCTTTGATTTCATCGAGCTGATTGGCTGTGAAGGTTTTTAATCTGGACGTCTTGGAGCGAAACTGGCAGTTTGGGATGACGCTGAGGAAGAAAGAGAGGAAGAAGAAGACTTTGTGATCTGATAACTGGACGATAACGATAGCAATAAATACATAGTAGATGGGTTTGCTCTGATGTCCCCGCGCTGCCTTTACTATCAGCAAGCAATTAAGGCTGTGTGTATCCGGTGATCAGCAGTGGAATGTACATTTACGTACTGTATACAACTTTGCAGTACTGGTAAGTAATTCCACTTTATGCTACTTTACACTTCTACTCCACTACATGTGTCTAACATCTTTAGTTACAAGTTAATTTGCAGATTTAGATAATGAATACAGTTATTAAATACATTTTGATGTATTATTATAAGTTAATCAACCCAGCAGTATATAAAGTAATTAAACAATAATTATAATCCAATGATATAATATACAATATTCTGAAATGGGGGCATTCTGCATAATGAATACTTTTACTTTCACCTGTCTATATTGCAAGATCCACAATGAATGGAATAATATCGCTGACATTATAATGAACACAAGTTGTTTTTCCACGCCACACCATACCAGATGTCTAACAAAAGCATTTAAAACAAAAAAACCTAAGATACCCTGTTACAACTCTAAGATATTTCTGGTATAACAGCCTCTTTGTGTATTCATCATCAGCCGAATTTCAGTTTGAGCCTTGAAGCTTCATATTAGGTCCTAACTGATGTTCTGCATCTTGCGGATGTTTATTTAAAAACACAGAAAAACATGAAACTGACAGTTTTTCAATGGAGTTTGGCGTCAGCTTTTCTCCGTACAAGAACGGAACAGTGTTACCTCAGACGAGATCATATAGAAATGAGATCATATTTCTCCTGTTTTAGCTTCTCTGCACTGGCTCCCTGTAAAATCCAGAATTGAACTTAAAATCCTACTGTTAACTTATAAAGCTGTAAATGGTCAAGCTCCGTCACATCTTAGTGAGCTCATAGTGCCTTATTATCCCACCAGAACACTGCGCTCTGAGAACGCAGGGTTACTCGTGGTCCCTAAAGTCTCCAAAAGTAGATCAGGAGCCAGAGCCTTCAGCTATCAGGCTCCTCTCCTGTGGAATCATCTTCCTGTTGCGGTCCGGGAGGTAGACACCTTCTCCACATTTAAGACTAGACTCAAGACTTTCCTCTTTGATAAACCTTACAATTAGGGCTGGCTCAGGCTTGCCTTGTACCAGCCCCTAGTTAGGCTGACTTAGGCCTAGTCTGCCGGAGGACCCCCCTATAATACACCGGGGACCTTCTCTCCTTCTCTCTCTCTCTCTCGTATCCTATTACTGCATCTTGCTAACTCAGCCATTCTGGATGTCAGAAACTCGGCTTCTTCTCCGGAGCCTTTGTGCTCCACTGTCTCTCAGATTAACTCATATCGCAGTGGTGCCTGGACAGCGTGACGTGTGTGGTTGTGCTGCTGCCGTGGTCCTGCCAGATGCCTCCTGCTGCTGCTGCCATCATTAGTCATTAGTCATACTTCTACTGTTATTATACACATGATTATTATCACACATGTATACTGCCAGATATTAATATATACTTTCAACATATTGTACCACAGTAGCCAGAACTATAACTATAATATTATTACTTTCATCAATGTTGTTGTAAGCTACTATCATTACCGTCTGTCCTGCATCTCTCTCTCTCTCTGTCTCTCTCTGTCTCTCTCTCTCTCTCTCTGTCTCTCTTTCTGTCTCATTGTGTCATGCGGATTACTGTTAATTTATTATGCTGATCTGTTCTGTACGACATCTATTGCACGTCTGTCCATCCTGGAAGAGGGATCCCTCCTCAGTTGCTCTTCCTGGGGTTTCTACCGTTTTTTTTCCCCGTTAAATGATTTTTTGGGGGGGAGTTTTTCCTTATCCGCTGTGAAGGTCCAAAGGACAGAGGGATGTTGTATGCTGTAAAGCCCTGTGAGGCAAATTGTGATTTGTAATACTGGGCTTTATAAATAAAATTGATTGAATTGATTGATTGACGGGGATGCGTAACGTTAACGTTATTGTATAAGTATATTGTAACGTTATATTACAGATTATTAGAGGTGGACTTGTTTAAAAATTGTTTAGCTAGCTGGACCGACCGTTTATTATGATTAGCAGTAACGTTAGCCACCATGCTAACATAACTGGACTTACCTGACTTTCTCTTGACTGTATCCTATCTTCGCCGTGTAGGCTCCGTTGTCCAGAACTAACGTGGCCATTTTATTGCCTGTATTAACCACATAAAATGAACGAGGCAAATTTATTTCACAATTAATGAAACACAACTCATGTCTACTCTGTTGGAAAACACCTCTGCGCTATTAAAACTTGATTGACTCGTTCCACCAATCAGCTTTTTTTTTGTCTGTTTCCGGCAGACGTAACGCTGTAAATCAGCCAATAAGGTCTTGCCCTCCGTTTCTTCACGGCTGGTGTAGCCAATCAAATACGAGAATTTGAGTCCTGTTAGAAAAGTGTTCGGACGGAAACAAGTCTCGCCTAGTTCTGTTCCTCCGTAAAAATCTGCTCATCTAAAATAAAAATTAGTGAATGTTTCACAGTAAAATAAATGTTTTAAAAGTAATGCAAATTATAAATACATGAACGTGACAATTATTTATTTACGCAGTCTGTATTGTGGTTAAATATCATTATTTCAGCTCATGAAGGAGTGTTAAATAAAAAAACAGCTCTGAATAAATACAGATCATATACTTTTTAAAATAATTTAATATGATGAGGGCTGCAACTAATTAAATTTTTTATGTGTGACAAATCTGTAGATTATTTACCAGATAAATCAATTAATCTTTCAGTCCTAGGATGTCAGAAAATAGTTTAAAGATTTCCCAGAGCCCCCGGTGATATATTTAAATATCTTGTTTACTGTCTGCAAGGAAGCACAGGAGAATTACATCTAAAATAGCACAACAGCTGATAACTTTGGATTTTCTTCCTTTTCATGCTTTTGTTGGAACTGGAAAATTAGAAAACCTAATTTTATATATTTAATAATGATGCATAACGATGATGACCTGCAGCTTTAGAGTGGTTTAGAAAATTACTGTTGTCTTGTTTGGTCTTGTTGATGTGCAATTTGTGTGTCTTGCTGTATCAGTGTGAAGTGTGCAGTATATTTTATCTGTAAAACATTTGTATTTATGTTTTGAAACTAATTTTGCCTCAGTCAGGTAGTTAATTTGTGTTATTGTGTAACTTTAGTGTTCTAAAGGGTTACTTTGGATTCACCAAAGTCACACAATAACTTAATCAAACTAATAGAGTGTTGTTAATAGAGTCTGGCTTTGAAGAGAGCATTGATTAATTTCATTTTCAAGACAGTTTCCTATCAGAGAGGGCTGCCTGTTTGGGAAGTACTGAGCATGACTGGATAAATTAGACTTTGATTATACTGGGTTCTATATGAGTTGTGTGAGTGTTTGTAAATGGATGTTTTGATATGCTGTTGTTAAACCTGATCCTTACTTCAATTCATCAATAATTTCCTGTTTTTGGATTTTTCACTCACCGTGGAGGCATGAAAGAAAAATACAGTTTTCTGCAAGAATTCAACATAAACACAGGGTGAGTAATAGATACACAAATGGTCATGGTTGAAGGGTGAAATATTCCTTTGATAGTTCTGCTGAGCCGCTCTCTGGATCCCATAATACACTGCAGGCTGGTGCATTCAGTCAGTAAAGGTCATGTTGTGTTCACTTACAATAAAAAGGCTGCTGCAGGATGTGATGCCTATTTGTTCAGTTAACAGTATGAATGTGTTGCAATCACATGAGTTACACATCAACAAATTAAACATCACACCTCATCCTGGAACTTCATATGTAGATGACTGAAGGTCAACAAACAATGAATTCCTGCGCAGCATTTTACAGCACCATTTTATAGTTCACAATAGATCTAAAGTCCTGCTGTTGGTTGTAAACTGTGCCTTAACTTCAGATGACAAGAAGCCAACTGTGTCTTCTCTGAAGCTTTCTGTCACAGCGGATCCAGTTACCTCTCCTGTACACAGATTTTCTATCAATACTCTGAGACACTATAGAATCTGTTCTGTAAGTTTCATCTTTCTAAGTCTTATGAAACTCTTGGACTTTCTATTCATATTGTTTGATATTAATCTTAATTCTCATTCTTATCTATTTCCTTTAGTGGACTTCGACCACCAGCAGCAAAACCTCATTCCTCTTCCATCCCGGTTTCCTGTTTGCCATTATTTCATCACTACAGATGTATTTTTCAAGATAAATATATATAGATCACTGTTAATATTCATTTTACATGTTTATTGCTGATGTAGATAATAAACATTTCACACAAATAAAATCATACATTTTTCTAGAAAAACATCAGTAACATAAGAATTTTTTTTTTTAAAAAAGGACAAACAATATAAACCTAGAAGCCTTTCCTATTTCCTAGTTTGTACATTCTCAATTTCCCCTCTCACCTCCTCTCCTCACGTCTTAGTCCCACCCAGTGGACAGGCATTAACAAGATGAGACATCCTTGCTTCAGAGCCATCATTTTAAAGTGATGTTAATTACATATGACGTGAGGCACAGCTGCATCATCTGTCTATTGTTTTGTTAAAGCCTACTGCTCTATAATATGATCTCTTTTTGTCTTTTTTAGACATCATTTGGGGGGCTTTATGCCTTTAATGACAGGACAGTTTGAGGCGTGACATGGGGAGAGAGAGGGGACAACATGTAGCAAAGGGCTGTAGGCAGGAATCAAACCCACGGCTGATGCAGCAAGGACATTGCTTTTGTACATGGAGCACCCACTCTACCCACTGAGATAGTAAGCAACCCAATTTCATGATCTCTGTCTGAGCATATGTACTGTACTTGGAATTCAATAAACAACCTCCTCGCTCCTCGAGATGCATTTTAGGTATTGGGATATCCTTCAAGATGAAGCGCTGAGATCATTTTCTAAGTGACAAACTGGAGAAGCCGAGGAGGCACAAAAGCGGGAAATGGGAAAGGCCTCCTGTCTCTGAATGACTCTTCCTGCCTTCAGCATACATGTGATTAATCATGTGATTACATGATACCTCAGTGTCAGTAGGACAAAGTCAACTTTTGCATTCTGAGGTGAAAATCTTGAAAGTTTAATAACAAAAACATAAAAATAAAGTTTTGGATCTGACTTTGTTCTGGCAGAAACTCAATATGAAAGAACTTTTTCTGATTTTCCAACAATAACATGTTAAAAAGAGTCACTGTAGACAGTAGTTATATCTTTGAGGCCTCCTGACCCCCTGAATCCCTCAGAGCTGAACCTCAATCTGTAAAACATTTATGACAACCACACAATTTAAACATTTCTGACTTTACGAGAAAAAAAGCAGATGAATGCACTTTTAGTTTTGAATCTTAAAATCCAAGAACTGGGACATGGCAGCAGGGATGTTGTTCTTCTGAATTATTTCTTACCACTATATCAAGTCGTATCTTCGTTTATAACATCTGTAGGAGAGTTTGACTGTTTCCCAACACCTAATAGAGTTACTCTGTAAAGAGGGCAGATAATCCAGAGCACTCATGTTTGATGCAAACCTCCTCCGTCTTTCAGACGTAATAAAAGAATGTTTAAAATCAAGAAAAACAAAAGTATTGTTGTCTGTTAACCAGCCTTCATGTGGTGGCAACAGACAGAACAACCTGTAATTCAGAGTTCAGACTCCATCAAATGTCACAGCAGAGCAGGTGCATATTTCTTTGTTTATCCGTCTGATGATGAAGAAACTGGTTCACCCAGAGATCAGTTTACACACCAGGCTGCAGTTTGTCTTATTGCACAAATATCATCTCAGTCCCACCAACGTGTCGTGTTCCTCCTGCTTTATGTTCCTGATTTAACAGTGAAGATGTTCCTTCAGGACAAAGCAGCAGGTCACTCCAGATACTTGGGGATGCATCCTTGTAGTTCGATGAGCTCAGGCCAGTTTTCATATTTATTCTTTGCGTTGTCGTTCTTTAGGTACTGAAGCAGACAGACAGACAGACAGACAGAGACGATAACAGCAAGGAACCCAGAAACTACTCATGTGACGCCATTGATGAGACCGGCGTCTCACTTACTACCAATGTAAATATGTGTACTGAGACATGTGGGAATGTGTGCATCTTTATATGTGTTTGTACTACACACACTATGTGTGCATTTGTATATATATCAATGTGTGTGTAAACAGTGTGTGTATATATACTAGGGGTGACCCCGAATAGTTGATGATTCGGTTATTCGATTTGGAGAAGTCTGATTCAACTGCCAGTCTCGCTGTCGAATCGTCGCAAAATGTGGTTATGAAACAAGACCGTACCATTCTGACTATATGGGGGTGCTCACTGCTGCTGAACATCTTGATTTGACATAGAATGTATTTGTTTTCTAGTAATTCATGATATATAGCCTATTTTGATACAAACATCAGCCTAATTTCTGTTAATAAAAAACTGAAAATGATGCGTGCGTTTAATCAGTAGGCATAATCATTACTACACATGAATAAATCACCCAGTTGCTCGATCCAAATAAGCTGAGGTGAGTGAGTGCGCTGCAGGACCATCAGAGCAGCATCAAGGCCTACGGTGATTTACGGTGGCGGAGCGCATAAACAAACAGTTTGGAGGAGGTATGTGCTCTCAAATCAAACTTTTTTTTGAAGGATTATTCGTTTACCTGAAGTTACTTGAAACGAATTTCACCGCTGATTGTTTTCTTGATAGACTCTGATTTTTTATTTGGCTACTTTTTGTCCAACGTGGCCAAACAATTGAGAGCGGTGACGCACGGGGGTTAGAATTGTGGGGTTAGATCACCACATGATTCCCGAGCGCGGCACCGATGCTGCTCACCGCTCCCTCAGGGGATGGGTCAAATGCGGAGAACAAATTTCACACACTCAAGTGTGTTACAATCAGTGGGACTTTAACTTTAACGCAAATGAGCTCATTAATCAATGAGGGGGAAAACAATTCCCTTTCTCTTTCATTTGTAACAACAAAGCCCTTTGTTATACACATATTTAATAAACTATTCTTTAATTTACTACTACTACTACTACTACTACTACTACTACTAATAATAATAATAATAAGCTATTATTAGTATTAGTATTTTTATTTCTAGTATTATGAGTATTAGTATATATGTTTGAATTCATTTATTGTATTATTTTTTTGTATTTATTTTGTCATTTATTTACTATTATTATTATTCTCTCTAATTCTTTTACTGTGGGTGTCTGGGGAAGGTGGGATTTGTGTGCTTGAATATTTGTGTATATATTTGCTGAAAAACTTATTCATATTTTTTTTTTTAAGGGAAACCAGATAAAGATATGTTGCCCTTTTAGAGCTGCAATGATTCACTGATTCACTAGTCTCGCTCACCAGACCTTTCTCAAGAAAAGAAAGGTCTGGCTGGGCCGACTCTCACCGTGAGATTGGAGAAAAAAACGCCCCGGCTGCTTGTACTTCTTTCAACCAATCACAATCGTTCTGGGCGGTGCCACAGCAACGGTGCGCTTGCAAAAATATTGTCGGGGGGAAACAGGTTTTGGTGTAACACGCCCACAAAAATATCACCTACAGGACGCGAACCATGGCAGAAAAATGGCTATATCCCCACAAGATCAAACACTGCAAAAGTTAGTAAAGGACGTGTTGAAAACGGTTGAAAGCTGCTACACAACCGGAGGTGGTAGGGCGGGACTTCAGCGGTGGCTTGTTCCACCCAATGAGAGGCTGATCTATGCAGCGAACTTCCGCCCACTCAGACTACTGATTCACTGAGAGGCCGTTTACACGTTGCCGGCTATTTTCATAAACGGACATTTCACCGTCTCCGTTTTCAAAAAGATCTTCGTTTACACTTACCCGTGTATATATACACAAGAGCATGCCAAACCTGTAGGTGGCAGTGTAACGAGAAGCTCAAGCCTTCCATGTATCCATTGCCACCATAGCAACATAGGTCGCACTTTTGACACAGGCGCAAGTTCCGGCGCATACTGTGACGTTGGCTGCCTATAACTCCGTTTATCTGCTTTTATCTCAGTTTACATGCAAACGCGCAACCGGTGTTTTCCAAAATCTCCACTCTGGCCGGAGTTTTTAGAAAGACTCGTTTTCAGAGGAGAAATCTCCGTTTGCGTGTAAACTAAGGGCACAAACGAAGGAAGATGTCTCCGTTTATCAAAATCACCGTGTACGTGTAAACGGCCTCTCAACTGGTTGACAGAAAAACAGTTCAGTCACTTCTGAAGTAAAAATGTCTTCACTGTGTAAATTGGTTCACAGTTCAAGTTGGTCAAATAAAACAACTAATCTGAATGCATCTCCTTAGTAAGCATTTATCACAATTTTCTGACAATTTATAGGCAGAACAATTAAGTGTTTTATTGAGAAAATAATTGTCGACATAACAGACATCGATAGAAATATTTAAATTTAAGAAAAATGTAAGTATTGTTGTTAAATGTTAACCAGTCTTTTTCCCCCATAATCAATAGCTGTAGCCCGTTTACCCTTAAAGCAAAAGTTAATGACTAAACTATTTGTTTGTTTGTTTGTTTTACAGTTTTACCAGACTGCAACAATGTCAAATATTAATCATCTGTTTTTTTCTTGTGCCACTGATGTTTAATCACTTACAGATTGAAACGTTTAATCCCTAGACACTGCAGCATCACAAATGTGTCTGAACATCTTGTATGTTTGGAAACTTTAGGATCTTCACTGACATTTTAAAGATAAGATAAAACTTTTTTGTCCTGAAGGAAGCTGTTGTGCAGCTGTTGCAAAACAAGGTATGAAAAAGTGCAGATAAACAAAATATTAACAATAAATATTAACAATAAAATGTATGTAAACAGTGAATAAAGAAACAGCTTTGAAAATATTTGGAATTTAAATGCTGAACCCAGAAGAGTCTGTGTGGGGTTAAAGAAGTTCATATAAATATAAATTCTTCAGTACATGATAGTTGTTACCTTCTCAAAGTTGTTCTGCACTGACGCTCCTTTCCCACCAACAAACACCCAGTTATCTCTGAATCCCAGTGACTTGACAGAAGAACTTCCCAGCTCTGCAATCAGCTTCCTCGCATCTTCATTCAACCTGTCAACACACACAATATGGATCAGACAACTGAGACAGTCACTGACAGAGCTGATCAATATGTAACTCAACAGGTTGATCAAAGAGTGAAGGAACAAAATCTAAAACATTAAAAGGCTTCAATCATCTCTGATAGGGTAACTTCAGCATTTTCTTATATGGACCCTTTTCCCATGTTTTTGTGTCTAAGTGACTGATGGGAACAATCATTTTTGCAACTGGTCCAGTGCTGAGAGAGAGCGCTGCAGCAGTCAAGGCTGTAATGTAACCACTAGGGACACGTACACACCATCAATGTACGTCCACTAAAAGTGTTTGTTTTTGCCACTGACAGGTTCAGATTGTCATTCTAAGTGTCTAACACATTATGGAAGGGATACCTACAGAGATAGACCTTCTTGTCAAAGAGTAAGATCATTTTAGTTTAACTAGAAACAGCCCCGAAATCACCATTACCAAACCAACCCGACTCCATTCAAATAAACAGCAATTTTATCAGCATAAAGCACACTTAATTCAGAGTAGACAGAAACAAAATAAAACTCACAAATTACTTCTTGGTTCATCTTTCCATTGTTCCAATAATCATCAACTCTGGTTTGGTTGATATAAACCCTTAATTCACCCAGTTAGATGTGAAAATATGCTGGCTATATACACGCTAAAATTACTATTAATTTAAATGGAGTTTGGTGGGTTTGGTGATGGGGCTCTCGGGGCTGTTTCTGACTGAACAAAAGGGAACTTACTCTTAAACAAAAAGGTCAATCTCTGTAGGGATCCTTTCCATAATATGTCAGACACTTAGCTCCTCCAGTGCTGATAAAGAGCATGCAGCTGCTTCCCTAAACCTTTTTGAGGGAAACATCTCAAAACAAGGCAAATATATTTCTATCTGTTTTGCTCTTCCAATGTTTCATCCATCTTTAGAAACAAAACATACGAACTAAACCTGCTGATTCAGACGTCATCAGAAGGAACTTTTAATGTGTCTTTTTAGAGTTTCAAGTTCCTCAGCTCAACAGTTGCTTTTTAGATTATTGAATGAAAGCACATTAAAGTCTTGAGTTTGGCTCAGTGGTTACGTTTCTCTGCTAACAGTAGATGTAAAAAGAGGAGAGACGTTTACTTTGATGAAGGCTCGTCGTAGGACGCCATCAGCACAGCAGATCCCACCTCGATGCTCTTCAGGAGCTCGATGAGAGGTTTCACGTCTGCAACACAAACGTCAATCTTTTATTAAATCTGTCACTGAATCATTTGAGCACACAGAACCACACGGTAGTTACATTATATTAATATCAGTTTGTACGTACCGCCACTGTACATGTTGAAGTGACTGGTCTTTATGATCTCCCCTGTTTTACCTGATGAAGAAAAGGAGACTCTTAACAATCAGCGATAATTACTGAAGCACAAACAGCGGCGATGCAGCGGTGAACTGGTTCAACACTCACCGTTTATTACAACGATGTTTATTCCAGGTCCAGCGTTGTTCAAGACGGTTCCAAGAACCCTGAGAAAAATATCAGTTTTCTGTGGTTATCAGTCTCATAGATGTGGGTCAGTATGAGTCTGCTACACCTGGTAGATTCAGAAGGCTGTTTTTATCCCATTAAATATGCATTAACAATTCATCAAGTTTCACTGTCACTTTTTCTCGGTTTGGGCACCAAAACACAGCCCATACGTATTAAATCAACGTTTCTGAAATGCCATAGTATACAGGCGGACTTTGTCATCAGGGGGTGGATGATGGATGGTGTGATACAGAGGCAAGACGCCTACCAAGCTGCAGACTATCGTTCAAGACCAACAAATAACAAAACCAGTTATATACGTTGCATCTTTTACCGCCTGAGAAACATGACGTTGGGTTCTGAGTGCAACACTTATACCTATTTTCAAGGGTTCAGAGGCAGGTTGCCTGATGTCGCTGAGGGACTATAACCAGCATCATATCAAACACATCACCAAAACAGCCTTCTTCCATCTCAGAAACATCACCCACCTCCGTCCATCCCTCTTCTTTTCAGCAGCAGAGATTCACACTTTCATCACTTCCAGACTGGACTACTACAACAGTCTCCTCTTTGGTTCGTCATCTAAGACACTCAAGAAACTACAGTATATCCAGAACTCAGCTGCTTGTCTTCTTACACACTCCCACACCTGTAACCACATCACCCCAATCCTTCATAACCTCCACTGGGTCCCCATCCCCCAGCGTATCCACTTCAAGTCAAGGAAGTTGAGGATGAAACACCTACAGCTTGTTTTGGAGGCAGATCTTTGGACCCACGACGTTAGCGGCTCCGCTCTGGATGTAGAAGCTGAAGGTATCTGCCGGACAGTCTCTCATCATGATGCACGGCCCGGCTGGAGAGGAAACTATTAATCTAAATTAATCCACCATCTGATCAACGTCACTCATTAATCCTGATCAGGTTGAATCGATCACTCACGTTTTGGGGTCACCTTTGACTTCTGACTGGCGGCACCAGAGCCTTCACGTAAAACAAGACGCAAATCATCTGCAACAACAACAGTTATATTATGAAACCATGAAATACATAAAGATACAGACTTGTACAGCTAGATATCAATATAGAGCTCAAATGACACTCAGTGGTGGACAGTAAAAAATAGATTTTAAACAAAGTATTTCAACTAACCCCCCTCTTTCGGACAAGATAGCATAACATCGTTGATACTGATGGATGCCATAGGTCCTCTAATTCACTACAATACAATATAATCTAAGCGACAGTGTCTTCACTGAAATGGGCTTTAATGTCGAAAATACATTTATTTCTCACGTAAATACATAAAACCTGTATTGTCAGTGATATAAGTCAGTAAGTGGATTGGTGTACATGATCCCATTTATGGGTTAACCATAGACGAACAGGAGGTTTTGTGTCTCCATCAACAGCCACTTCTCTTTATTTTCATCGATTTAAGCATGGTGTGCCTCAGGGGCCAGTCCTGGGACCAATTTTATTCTCCTTGTACATGCTTTCCCTTGGGCTCATTGTTCAGAGACATGGTGTCTCTTTTCATTTTTATGCTGACGATACACAGGTGTACCTGCTCGTTAGATCCACAGACCCTGGAATGATGTGTTCACTTAATGACTGCCTTACTGATGTTTAAAGCTGGATGTCAAAAACTTTTCTTTAACTGAACTCAGACAAAACAGAAATTGTTGTCATCGGGCCCCAGCAATGTTACACAACAAATTCTGCCTTTAGCTGGTCAAACCTGTTGCAAGAAGTCTTGGAGTCTCATTTGACAGTAATTTAAGTTTTGAGTAGCACGTCACAAAGCTCGTCCAATCATGTTTTTATCATCTTATAAACATTTCAAAAATACGCCTAATGCCATTTTAACTTTTAAAGACACTGAGACAATTTTACATGCCTTCATCTCTTCACGCCTGGATCACTGCAACAACCTGTTTTCTTGCCTTAATCAAAAATCTATTAATCGACTCCAGACTGTACAGGATACAGTTGCCAGAGATGTGATCACATCACTCCAGTTTTAGCCTCTTTACATTGGCTCCCAGTATGTTTTAGAATAGATTTTAAGATTTTACTGATTACTTTTACGGCTCTTCATGGTCTCTGACCCAGGTTTATCTCCGACCTCTTAGTGCCATAAATGCCAGGACGTACTTTGAGGTCCTCGGGCAGAGGTCTTTTGTATGTTAAAGAGGCCCGACTGAAAACTGAAGGGGACAAAGCGTTTGCTGTCAGGGCCCCAAGGCTCTGGAACAATCTGACGAAGGAAATCAGGTCGGCCGAGTCAGTGATCTGTTTTAAGTCCCTTCTTAAAACATACTTCTATTGGTGAGCCTTTCCTGATTTTACTTGATTTTTAACCTCTCTAACTCCGCCAGGACGCCGATGTCCTCACTCCCCCTCTCTTCTGTTAAATGGTATCTCCCAGGCGCACTACGTCATCAAACCATGTGATGTTTGGTATTGCCGGATTCAAGAAGCTCTCGACTTTTAAAAAATAACATCGTTTTTCTTTTATGTCTTATGGATTTCGCACCAGAGCAGCCCAAACACACATAGTCCAAAATCGCGATGAGTGGTGACAAGTCATGTCATACTGTTTTTCAACGGGAAAAGTTAAAGGATTACTCGCAATCTTATGTGGAGCTGTTAGCGGGGACTTAGCTGGTTTGTAAAAGGTAAGAGTCTCACTCCTAACACTATTTTTGGCTGAGATACACAGTCTAGAAAGTGGGATCATAACTTTCACGTTTCATATGGCTTTATTTGGTGATATTTTATGGTGTGTCTGTGTCAAAAACAACATCAACTATCATGTTCACACCTGATTAGTAAGGCACAATGTTTGAAGCTGGCTGAGTGTTTTTTGATCACTGATAGTACTGTTTTGAAGCCGAGTGACCAACTTGTCATTTGGAGCTCCGCCTGGATCTTTTCATGGAAAAAACACTGTAGAATGGTCATACTTTGAGCAATCTTCTCAAATTTGAAACAAATGTTCACTGATAGTGTGCCTACAGCCCCACAGTGTCATTTACCTGCTCAGCTGCCACAGACAGTTATTCATCCTGAAAAACATTTTTTATTTTATTTTAGGCAAAATCTTCAATTTTTTACTGACTTCAGGGGCCCTCTGACACTTTCACAAGAAACTTCAGAGAGTTTTCTTTCTGGCAAGACCTCATGCATGCATGTAGTCAGAGTGGTTCAGACGCTACAGTCATTTTAATTTGGAAATTTGTCATTTTAGGCGTTTTTGCTGCAAAATGGGGGCGGAGTACAAGAGGTTTTTAGACCATCTTTGATTTCCTCAGTTTTTATATACTGCAGTGTTTTTATCAGTTCTTTAAAAGTTGTACCCTTTGATCCCCCCCTGACAGCTGGCCTGGGTAGGTCTATTAAATATTCCTACCTCTGATGACTTGAAACGGGTTGCTGTATTTCTGCAGGATGAGTGTGAGAAACAGAATCACTGGCACCAACACCAACATGAACTGTAAAACCTCTGCAGGAGACAAACAGAGACAGACACAGACACAAACTCTGTTAAAGTTGTCACCGACTGCACCAGTCAGACTGGATCTAAGAATTTTTAAATGGTCAAGAGATTTCAGTCCATCCAGTTTCCAAACCAGTTGGTCCTAATAGTTTAAACTACAGTTGTCAGGGGTGGATTCCTCTCTAAATGCAGCCAAAGCTGAATAACTGACTGCTTATGCTGCTGAAGCATCAACGTACTCTGCTATATCGATCCCACGAAGGGGATATCAGGGAAAAAGAAAAGAGAAATGCTCCTGAGTCTACTTTGCTTCGTTTTAAAGGATCATGAAACAGATTTGTAAGTTTGTAAAGTTAATCATTCTGAGTGTGTTAGAAGTCTCTCTTGTCCTGAATTATCTTTGTGGAAAAAATTAAATCGACTCCACTGTTGGATCATCCTGTTTCTTATCTTTTTGAGCTGATTTTACCCTTTTTAAAAAATTTTTCTATTGCCTTGTATTTCCTTTACACCTTCTCTGAAAGCCTGTCTGTGTGTTGTGTTTGTGCACTTTGAATGACCTCATTGAAAGGTAAATATTCCTGCGGTGAGGGGTCAATGTTGATCTAATGCTGTTAGGATCACATTTTATTTAATGTGAATTTAATTTGATCCTCCTTCTTTATTTGCAGTCTTGTAAGTTTGTTGAATTGTTGGATGTTTGGCTTCTCTAACTGCTGTCTGTGAATCATCCTGTTTTAATAAAGGTTGAGTCAATTAATAAAAAAATAAAGAAGGTTGGAGGCTGGTCATCCACAGAGAAGAAAAGACTATAAGAAAGAAGAAAAAACTATAAAATCCTACATATTCATACATCAAGAAGCCAACGTTCACCATAAATACTTCACATTTCATCATTAATATTTGTTTTTAACTTTACTGAATTACAGATTTTACACTGTTTTCCACAATATGTAAAGAAACAGACTCTCTGTGCCACCTGATGTTTTCCTGTGCAGCCTACAAGTACTGTAACTAATGTATATGCACTGGATCCCTTTTTTAAAATCTATATTTCTTATTTATATTTTATCAATTTTTATTTATTATCAACAAATTTAGTATATATTTTTTCTTCGTTCCCCTACATTTACTTGTTTGGCAATTTGCCTGGATTAATTGAGTGAGCTCATGTGTGCTTGTACATGAGTGTATCCTGTATGTTTATATAAATGCAAAACTCCTTAATGAAGTTATTTAATAAAAGGTTAGTTAAAATGATTCATCATGAACAAAACATGTTTTTACTGTCTATGAACAAAGTTTGGCAAGTGAGCATTTATGTTTGCAGCTCCTTATATTATTATGGTTGCACTTTTTGGTTCCTCTCGGCCGTTTCAAAGCACTGCTGCAGGATTTTTGTGCACAATCTTTTAAATGCAAATGTCACATGTATTTTAGCTGGTCTCTGTCATCATGTGTAGTTGCTGGGTTTTTTTTTGCAATTTTTATGGTTCATTTTTACTATACATTAACACACTTTTGGGGTTTTCTTTTTAGTAATCTAATTTTGTGTTTTAGAGCTTCACATTTTTATGTTGTGTTTTTGTTCTATGTCGTCTGTCTGTAACTTTATGTTGCTGCCTCTTGAAAACGACATTTTTAATCTGTCGGTTCATTAATCGGTCACTCAGGTTAAAGCTACTCTTACCTTTCTTGCATATCACACAGCACAAAAAATTCGAACATTCACAACTCCTGCCTCCCTCCATAGTCCCATCCCCCTCCTCCATTACGTCCTCATTACATCTATGATACGCATAGGCGTTGGCAAGCTAATGTTAGATACACATAAGCGGAGAGTGAGTGTAACGTTACAACCAAGACAGTCAAACACAATCCCGTTGAGTTTTATAACTCAACCGGAGTCAGTAGCTATGTTTCCATCCAAAAGCAATTTGAATCATTGGGAAATGTACATTAAAAGAAATACGAATCCTGTGTGTTTCCATTAAATGCACGGACTTTGGTGAAAACTACGAACTCGCGCAAGTTTTCTGCAGAACCGGAAACAAAACAAGTCTCGCATTCTTCTTCTTCTACGTTTTCTGGCGGTTGGCAACCAGCTTGTAAATGCATTACCACCTTCCCGACCCGGAGTGTGGATATCACCATGGAGAGAGGTGCGCTACGTCAGACTTAATTCAAACATAACTGTTTCCATCCCCCGTTTTGCGAATCAACATTTTTTCGAATCAACCAAAACCCGGCTAAAGCGAGCGTATTTTAGTTTGTGCGAATCAGGGGATTTTAATTCGAATTTTGGCGTTTCCATCATAATTTCCTGATGCGATACTTCTAGATGCGCATCTAAACAGGCTGATGGAAACATGGCTAGTGATGACCGATGAGTTGTAGAATAAGGTCACAGTGCTAATGGATGTTATACACGTGCGGTTATGTCAGTCCGAGGCCTTCACATGGGGAAGACAGACAGGACGCTCGGCCAATAATTGCATTTGGTCCGAATGCAATGATTGGTCATAATTTTCTTAGAACCATATGACAATGGTATAATTATGAGTTTTTATCTCTGGTGGAATTCACTTACATTTTAGTGTGCCATCAGCTTATTGATAGCATTTTAATCTAAACAAAGAAAAGCGTAAAATTTCCAGAAAGGTAAGTGTTGCTTTAAATAAAGGTTAAATAAAACAAAATAAAATAAAGTCTCTTTAAAATCCCACATTAGTTGAGATGTATGTGAACTATTACAGTGAGCAAGGGGACATTTGTTCGACAGGAAACCTCTCCCACTTGTTATCAGTAACATCCAGGTAAATTCCTAATAAATAAGGAAGTAACTGTGATAAAATGCACATAAACACACACAGACCAAATGGAGACTTACTTCCTTTGATGTTTTGTCGTCTCGCCATTTTTCCTGTTAATAAAAGAGAAACATTTAAAAATCATTAATAATCAAAAATGTATATCTCCTTTTTTTTTAGCTTTAATTATTTTTCTGTTCTTATAGGCTAGTTTCAATCATTTTCCACATTAATAATTTTGTCTATAAAATATCAGAAAATACAATTAACACTAAAACAACATCAAAAAAAGGAAGACATGTGTAGGCCACCTATTTTGTTCGACCAACAGTCCCAAACCACAAAACATTCAATTTAATTTCATATAAAAGCAGCAAATCGTCACATTTGAGACACCAGAACCAATAATTATTTTAAAAATGACTCAAACAGTGAATCAATTATCAGATTATGTTGCCAATTAATTCTCTGACATCTGACTAATTGACCATCTATCTATCTATCTATCTATCTATCTAAATAAATAAATACCTTTATAAAACAGAGATGAAAATGTGTGATTAATATAGGCTATTTTAGGTGCAGATTAATTTTCTAATGCAAAATACTCCATTACAAGTACAGCGGAAGTAAAACATAAACAAGTAAAACTGCACCTGACACTTAACTCTACTCCGTCTGCATTCCTGTCACTGTTTACAGTATATCGACACCCACAGATCAAAGATATATAATATTAGAATAAATAAAACTAAGAGATGAATAAAAGGAAAGTGTTGCACTGACCCACTCTGACGGTGAGCATGTCTCTGACGTCCGGCCCCTCTGACACTGAGTCCCATGCGACATTTAGTTACCGGAGCTGCTGGAGACAAACAGGTTGTTCCTGTTCCGCTTCCCTGAGCCTGATTACCTGGTTACAGCCAATCAGCTGCACCCGGAGGGCCAGAGTCCACTTCACTCACCTGGTGATAACATCATCATGTAAATTGATTTTTTATAGCTAGATATGAATCAGCTTTTGTTATAATGCTGAACATGATGCAGCTCTAAGATAAATGGCACCCAGGGAGCTCATCAGACTGAGCAAAACTCTGAAATATGTTCTTTAACCATAAAAGTAATTCTTTATCTGCACCTCAACAATCTGTGCTGAGTAATGCTTCTGAGCTGTGATGCATTCACTTACTGTGTTATGTACTTAAGTGCTCCTGAGCTGTGATGCATTCACTTACTGTGTTATGTACTTAAGTGCTCCTGAGCTGTGATGCGTTAATTACTGTGTTATGTACTTAAGTGCATCTGAGCGGTGATGCGTTCACTGACAATTGTATGTAATTAAGTGCACCTTAATGATGATGCATTCACTTACTGTTTCATGGACTTTGGTGCATGTGATGTGTGTGATGTGTTCACCTACTGTCCTTACTTTTGTGCATTTCAACAGTGATGCATTCACTTACTGTTGTGCGTACTTTAGTGAATCTGAACAGTGATGCATTCACATACTGTAGTACATAGTTTAGTATATCTGAATGGTGATGTATTCAGTTAATGTAGTACGTACTTTGATACTTTGGTGAATCTGAACAGTGATGCATTCACTTACTGTTTTTCGGTACTTTTGAACATTTCAATAGCGATGCGTTCACTTACTGTTGTATGTAATTTATGTAATTTAGTGCATTTAAACGGTGATGCATTCACTTACTGTAGTACGTACGTTAGTGCATCTGAACGGTGATGCGTTCATTTACTGTAGTGCGTAGGCCTACTTTAGTGCACCTGAACGGTGATGCATTTACTTACTGTTGTCTGTACTTTCAACAGCATTGCAACAGCGATGCGTTCACTTACTGTTTCACGTACTTTGTGCATCTGAATGGCAATGCGTTCACTTACTGTAGTACGTACTTTATTGCATCTGAATGGTGAAACGTTTACTTACTGTTTTCCGTAACTTTGTGCATTTCAACAGTGATGCGTTCACTTACTGTAGTACGTACTTTATTGCATCTGAATGGTGAAACTTTTACTTACTGTTTTCCGTAACTTTGTGCATTTCAACAGTGATGCGTTCACTTGCTGTTGTAGCTACTTTAGAGCATTTGAGCAGTGATCCATTCACTTACTGTTGTACATATTTAGTGTATTTGAATGATGATACGTTCAATTACCATTGCAGCGACTTAAGTGCATTTACTTCACCATCACTTACTGCCACATTTGTGTACAATATTTATTGAAGTAGAAGTACTTAAGTTAAGTACAATTGCCTACAAGTGGGGGGTGGGGGGCTCAGGGATCCAGTGTTGGCCCTAATCCTTTATTTGCTCACTTGTTGAGCCTTCTTTATTCTCTGTGTTATTAATATCTCACTTCTTTTGTATGCTGTTCTTTGGTATCTGTTATCAGGGCGTCGCTGCACCGAGGCAGGAATGTGTAGCCAACCTTGTCCTGTAGGTATTCATATCACCATGGGACAATTGACAGGAATTCACAGAGCAAACACATTAAAGTGAGTATGTGACGCAGTACAGTGAGTAAGAGTTACTGTAGAGTTATCAGAATCATTTCCTCCTCCTCCTCCAGGATGAATATCTGATACATTAACGCAGGTAAACACTCAGTTGTTCACCTTGTCACATTAAACTCATCAGTATTCAATACGCAGCAGGTCACCATGGCAATCAGTGGTCACCGTGATAACCACTATTAGTGTTGTGGTCCATTTACTGAAGGCTACAACGTGAGCGTGTCATCAGGAGCTTCTTTAAAAATAGATTTACAAACAAACAGATGTACTTTGGTTAAAGCACCAGTCTGCAGAGAGTCAGCAACAACATCAACAGGACACATTCAGAGTTCCTTTGGAAGACACGACACACTTATTGCATTCACAGGGAAGATTTAATGTACAGCTCAGAGTCTTTTTAAGGCCTCCAGCTCCACTCGAAAAAGGAGCCTCTGTGCTTCATCAGTCAGAGTCTGTGAAGGCATCACTGTAAGTAGCAGGACGAGATGTGAAACACCTTCAGCAATTATTTATTGAAGTATCTGACGCTTTGCTCTGTGACTTCAGTGAAAATCAGAGGGACAGATGGAACTTTAAATAAAAATAATACAAAAAAAAAATAATAATAATTTTGTAAATAAATACAAAAATGGGGAAACTCTGTTTGGGTGAACCGCCCAAATAAATCCTGTGAGTAGGAAACACTTGAATGCACATCAGAGTTTGTTTATTAATGCAGAGTCATGTAAAGTCGGCTCCACATCATCACCATCATCGTGGGTCCAGGGTGGTCTACAGCCTGTGTTAGTCTACGTACAGTCGTGATCTACTTGGAACACTGGTGTATAAAACCTCAGCAGCACTCAGAGGTCTCAACAGGAAAAGCTGCACAATTAAAACTCACTACAATCATCTGGTTTGAAATCTTAAACTGACAGAAAACTTCACAACCTCCACAGCAACGCTTCTGTGTGTGACGTCATCTTATTAAATCAAATCCATTTCATGCAGGAAGTCAAAGAGATTTTAAATTGTGAAAGAGATCAGAACTCAGAGTTTCAGGCTTTAAAAAGTGAACAGCCTTCAGTTTGGTGTTGTACAGAAGAAAGCATCTTAAAATATGAATAGTGCAAATACAGGACGCCACCTCATCAAAAGGACATAAAAATAGAGTTACATGATACCTGCAGTACACGGTTAATCACTGCTCACTAGGGCTGCAACTAACGATTATTTTCATTGTCGACTATATCTGTCGATTATTTCTTCGATTAGTCGACTAATCATTTTATCGAAAAATGTGTGAAAATGTTGAAAAATGTCGGTCTCTCCCAAACCCCAAAATGATGTCATCTAATGTCTTGTTTCGTACTCACGCCAAAGGGTTTTAGTTCCCCGTCATGAGAGAGTGTGTAAAACTGCCAATATTTGAACGTAAGAAGCTGCAATAAGAGTATTTTGGGGGACTTTTATAGTACTTTTCTATGAAAAATGACTCAAACCGATTAGTCGACTACTAAAATAGTCACGAGTATTTTAATAGTTGATTAGTCATCAATTAGTCAAATAATCGTTGCAGCCCTACTGCTCACATCTTAAAGGTCCAGTGTGTATGATATAGGGGGATTTTGTGGTATGTAGTCGTGAGGATTGCAGATTGCAACCAGCTGAAACTTCTCCTGGTTAGAATTCAATCAGCGTTCACTGTTCAGAAGGTTTTTACAGGGAGCTGAATTATACACAGAGGTCTCTTCCTCTCCAAAACAAATGTAACAGGTGATTTACACCAGTAAAAACACTGAATAAAGCAGTTTCATGTAAAAAAAACAAACAAAAACAAAATAAAAAAATCTGTGTTTCCCCAACGCTGCTTATGGCAGCGGGGCCTCAAACTATGGCTGCCTTTGCAAAAATGCAAATGTCTCTATCTAGAGCCAGTGATTGGTTTGTCCGTCTGCTCCCTGTGTAGATATTAACACCTCATTATAAGGTAACAAAAATACAAAGATTCAGGTGATTATATACTAAAGAAATATATTTATTATATTATATTATATTATATTATATTATATTATATTACATTTCATTTCAGCCAATGTATCCCCCTAAATCCTACACACTGGACCTTTAAATTTTGTCAAACGATCTAAATACCTGCTAAAACTCTTGTGAATGTTTGTCATCAAAGCGTCTGCAGGTGGGAGATTATCATTTTTAAGTATTATGGTTTGTCTTAGTTTAAGTTAACACAGTCTCCTCTTTGTTTCTTTAATGAGCGTTGAAACAGAGATAATTCCCTCTGACATGTTATCACTTATCAAACCAGCAAATCATCTCTCAAACAACACATTTGCTCAGTAAACTAAAGAGCAGCATTAATGTGCCAGCTGTTTCAGTTATTTTAGATTTTAATGGTTTTAAGGTCTGCATACATGTACTTTATTTCGCCCTGATGAAAGCAGTAATATTTTAGGTTGTAACGTCTCTCAACACAAGATAATGGCTCATCCTGTCTCCAATGGAGATAAACGACACATTCACCCCCAGCTGTCTGATTCTGGCTCAGTATGTGAACATGTGATATGTGAGCGTGTCTGTCTCACTCCTCAAAGTCTAATTTTCATATGGAAATGTTTTCATGCCAAGAATTCAAATATGTTTCATGACAAATGTCTCAGTCTGAAATAGTCACTTACTGGGTTTTATGTAAATGGTGTCAAATATTGTGTTTGTGTTAACGGCTGTATGCAGTCCCTTTGGCTGGGTCTCTGAGTATAATATATCAAGAGAATTTCTAAATGACAGCAGGAGCGAGTGGTTGTGTATTTATCTGCAGAGCCTGTGCCATCTGCCTGGATTTTCTTATTTTCTGTGTTAAGGACATTTATAGGTGTGTACCCCCACAGTGCTCAGGTGAGGTCTTCATAAAAAGGTAGTGACCAGACTGTAAGCAGCACGCATCCAAGAGGAATCCACAACACCCCCCCACCCCCCCACCCCCCACCCCCACTCTGTTTGCATGGACGAGAGGCAAAAACCTCGTGGAAAATATCTCTTTTCAGAAACACACATTGAGTCGACAGGGCCTCTGGTACTATTCTTTAAAAAAAAATACAAAAAAAAAAAAAAAAACCCCAAAGGGATCTGAATCAAGGTCGTTTATGTTAAAAAACTCAAATATATCTGTCAGTATTAGCTTAAAAAATCCAAATTATATTACACAACAGTGGAAAGAAAGATCATGACAGAGATTATTAACTGTGCAGCTCTCCTGTTAAATCGACCTACGTCTGCTGGGTGGTGTCATCTGCAGGACCAGCTCAGTGTGGAAGACCAACCGTGTCTACATCCAGACGAGGCTCTCACAGCGGGTACCAGCTCTACATTTCCTCTGCGATCTGTCAGTGAGGTTTACTCCTCCAGACCTCCACCACAGACCAGAATGTCTCCACAGGGACGGTCTACGTCCCTACGCTGGCCTATATGAGGGCGTTAAGGTGTCCAGAGTGTCCTACAGAGTTCAGCATCAGAGCCCTCTGATCCAGCACCTCCCTCTCCCGCCCCAGTGTCGCCCTCTCCTGCTCCACCATGGCTCTGTCCCGCTCCACCGCCGCCCGCTCTCTCTCCAGCCACAGCCTCTCCGCCTGCACCGCCGCCCTCTCCCTCTCCACCGCCGCCCTGTCCCGCTCCACCATCTCCCTCTCTCGCTCCAGCGCCGTCCTCTCCCTCTCCACCATGTCCCACTCCCTCTCCAGTCCACCCAGTGGCCCGTCGCACGCCTCCGAGCTGCGCTGGTTCTGCTCGCCACCGTCGCTGAACGTCTCCTGTCCATATTCTGAGGAAGAGGAGGGGGGAGGAGGAGGGGGAGGGGCTGGCCGGGACCTGTGTCTGGGGGCGGGGTCAGGGTCATCGTCCTGGGTGACGGGGGTGAGGAGGGGGGCGCTGCTCGTCAGGCGGCCCTCCATGGCTTCATTCATCAGGTGGAACCACGGCCAGGAGGAGGTGCTGTCTGCTACGCTCTCCATCCCAACAGGAGGATACTTCAGGTCCTGGACAGAGGAGGAGGAGGAGGAGGAGGAGGAGAGAGGAGAGGAGCAAGAGGAGGGGGAGGAAGGAGTGGGGGATGAGAGACGAGAGGAGGAGATATGGGATAGAGAAAGACGAGGAAGAGAAGACAGGAAGAAAGAGTAAGGAGATGAAGGAGTAGAAGGGAGGAGGAAAGGGAGCAAGAGGAGATAGGAAAGAGAGGAGGAGAGAGGAGTTGGGGGGAAGGAGGGAGGAGGAGGAGGAGGAGAGAAAAGAGAGGAGGAAGAGAGCAGAGAGTGAAGGAGGAGACAAGAGGGAAGGGCAGACAGGAAGTAAGAGATGAGGAAAGGAGACGGGACAAGACGAGACGAGAGGGGAGAGAAGACAGGAGAGAGGAAAGGACAAAGAGGTGGAGGAGGAGAGTAGAAGAAAGAAAAGGAGAGAGGAGGAGTCAGAGAAAAGAGGAGAGGAGAAAAGTAAGAGGTAAAAGGTGGAGGAGATGGCAAGAGGAAAGATGGAAAGGAAGACAAAGAGGAAGAGGAGGAGGAGAAAGGTGAGATGAGACAGAAGGGGCAAGAACATGAGAGGAAGAGGAGAGAGTAGAGGGGAAAGACAGGAGGAGAAATGGTAGAGAGGAGAAGAGAAGGGAGAGGAGGAAGAGGAGAAAAAAAATAAAACATAGGTAGAAGAGTTGCCACAAAAACTCACTACAGCACGAAATGTGGATTAATCCTCCACTGAAAATAGTCCCCGAACAAAGTCACTATTTCCTCCTGTTTGTTAAATAAAATCTACAGTGAGCAGCTGTACGCATTACTGATGACACTACATGTTTGTGTTTATAAAGATCTTCAGTAGAAACAACTGAGCCTGAAGCTGAGAAACGTAGACTGGAGTTTAGTTGTAGCAAGCTGGCTGTGAACAAACCTTGTATCTCCTCTTCAGATTGTCCCACTTCTTCGCCATCTGGTATGTTGAGACCTTCCCCTGCAGCCCGAGCTCCTTCAGGATGGCCCTGAGTGACACGTGAACACATTCAGACTCATGTATGACACTATACATCTACAGTAACAAATACCTGGTCTGCATGATGAGATTTATTTATAACACAAAACAAACAGTTTCTTACTTCCAGGCAGCTTTGGCAGCATTTCTCCTTCCGGTGAACAATGCCTCGTTAGCAGCTCGGAGTTTGATCATCCTCCTGGTGTCCTGATCCGTCACTGCAGCAGACACACGGGTAAAGTCACAGGTACCAGTGTTTCTCCTATATGTATATAACAGCAGTGCTGCGCCGCTGCTAAATGATTAAAAATCTCTTCATACACAATTCGCTCGCTATCTCTATAATAATAATTTGACGTCTACAACTGTGTATAGATTTGTGTCTGAAGCCCTTCTCGTGTCAGCTGATGCCCTAAATATCTTCCAGCGGCACAAAATAAAACTCATACACTTCAGCACCGCTGCTGGAAAACATCCTTGGCTTAAACATTGAATTAAGAAGAACCCATCTTACTTTTATAAGAGAGATCTGAGGGCGTCGAACACTCCTCTCCACTGGCGTCAATGTAGGTCACGTTCCCATCAGCCTCGGCTGTGTCCCCCCCCACCATGCTCTCCAGCTCTGACACGCTGCTCCTCTCCTCCATCAAACAGTCTCTGTCAGCGGGCGGAGACGAGCCAAAGACGCCTCCACTTCCGTCCTCCTCGCTGCTCCAGACGGGCGTCACTCTGGGAGCTTTTCCCGCCAACCGCCCCTCCAGAGCGTCACTCATCAGCTGGAACCAGGGCCAGGAGGCGGGGTTAGTCTGACCCTCCATCCCCCGAGGAGGAAACTTCAGGTCCTGCACACATGCACGCACAACATCGCAGGTTTAACAGAAATTCCCTGAAGTAGTCTCGATACACTTACTACACTTACTATTAGTTAGTCAGTATCTAGTGCCTTTATTTCTCATGCTTCGTTCTGTATATTGTAGATGCTCGTAACGTGTTAAAGATTTTGTTTTATCTACCAAACAATCAAATACTTAAAAATATTCAGTTCAGTATGTAGTCAGACCAAGAAAAGCTACAAATTCTGACATTAGAGAACTTGGAACCATTAAAATGTTTGGCACTTTTGCTTGAAAAATAAATTAAATGATTAAAAAAATAGTTTCATGTAAATTTTCTATTGTTCAGTTAACCTATTAATCGACTTATTGTTGCAGATCTCTTCTAACATTAGTGCAAACAGGCCACATAAGCTTCTGCATTGTACATATACATGGGGCTCATTTATGCTCAACGTTAGATACAGAGACGGACAGGGACACAGAGATGGACACAGACGGAGCCTTCTGTCCATACTCAGCATTCATTTCCTTCATAATTGTACACGTTCTCTAAAAACATATGGATTCGGAAAAAACAGAGCAGTACCACCAGAGATTGTGGATGCACTGTGGTGTAGTTCAAGCGAGACACGACTGTAGGAAATGATGAAGAAATTTTAAATAATAGTGGCATGGAACGAATCAGTAATATAGTGAAATGAATTCTTCGTTCCCATGTCGTGATGTAACGTTGTATGGCCGCACAGACGACAGTTGTCCACAATGCTGTCTCTGTTTAAATACACTATTAAACCTCCTCCACTGTCTACTTATTGTTGTCTAGTGCCACCTGTTGGCTGGATCTATCCCAAAATAAAGGACAACTGAAGTATGATAGCAGAGACATTTACCATGTTTATACAGACTTATCTGTTTTCATACGTAAAGGGACAATAAATGAGCCTTAAGACTGATGGAGGTCGTCACCTTGAATTTGGTCTTCAGGTTGTCCCACTTCTTAGCGACCTGGTCAGGTGTTATCTTCCCTGTCAGACCCATCTCCTTCACTATCCCCCTGTGAACAACAAAAAAGACCAATTAATTATTTAAAGGATTCTCTATGTTCGCTTTAGTTTCAGCTGGATGGTAATTTCTTTGTAAGTCCTAAGACATTGTTTGGCTCAGCGGGCGGACATGACACTCCACCACAAACATCTCTAAATGCACAGCAGAGCACAAATTCTACAGATTCTCTCATAACATGATTGGATATATATTATTAAGTGCTGCTTTACCTCCAGGCTGGCTTGGCAGTGTTCCTCCTCCCCGTGAACAGAGACTCGTTAGCAGCTCGCAACTCAATTAGTCGCCTGGTGTCGTCTTCTGTCACTGAAACGAAGGTGGAAAAAACTCAATTATAGTTCTCGTCATTTTAGAGTTTGTTAAAAGATGAAGATCTTGCAGCATTTCTTACATTTGTATGTGAACTCGGCCATCCGGTGCAGCTCACCCAGAGCCGAGGATCCGTTCTTGTCTTCATTATCAACCAGCAGGTCCATCTCCGACTCCGTCAGGAACTCAGCCATCCCGCCTCGGCTGCGGCGGGCTCGTTTCTTGGGCGTCGGTGACAGTGGCTCACAGTCCTCGTCTTCGTCCTCCACGATAGGCGTGAGGATGGGCGCCGCCCCGGCAAAGCGCCCTTCCATGGCGTCGTTCATTCTGTAGAACCAGGGCCAGGAGCTCGGGTTGGTCTCCACGCCTCGAGCGGGAAACTTCAGCTCCTGGTAGAGACAGAAAGTTCTACAGATCGTCCACAGAGGGACCTTATCGTCCTGTCAACACTGCCACCAACTCCTGCTGTCCATCCACAACTCACAGGGACGTCACTGCTTCTTTCCAACGTAAACTTAAACAACACAACTTAACAGTTTTAATTTGTGCACCGTAACAAAAGGATATCATTCATTTAAAAAAAGTCACCTTTTCCTGTTTTTATCCTCAACCTCTGAGGCTTTTTTGTACAATTGTTCCAAGTTGGATTCACCAAACTTTCTAAACTTGCTCGTTTCACCTTGATGAATGTTCATGACTCCATCCCGATTGCAGAGATTTGATCATAAGAGGAGCTGCAACGCTAAGTTGACCAACAGAGAATTGATCAAACATTTGATGATTCTGACTTCTCAGTTATAACAATTGGCTGCTTTTTACATCTTACATTATCACACATTGAATATCTTTTGGTTTTGGAGTGGTGGTCAGGCAGAGCAAGACATTATAATCACTATAGTCTCTATGAAATTATGATGAGCTTTTGTCATGGTCCTAATCAATATTTATAGTCAAAATTGACTTAAAATACAATCAGCAATTTAGTTAATTATGAAGTTATCCCCTCCTAATTATTAGCATAATCAATCCCAAATAATTCTACTTCTTCCACTTCTTCTGTTTGTGGTCTTGTTTCATTCACAAAATCGTCATTAAGAGTAAAAAGAAGAAGCAGAGCTTTAAGGTCGTGCTATCAGAAATCAGCTGACTAAAAGTGAACTAATTCACTGCAAGGGTCATTAGGACCTGAAATTATTACAACACATTAATATTGCTGTAAACGATGAGTCATCAGAGCAGCACACTGTGACCGCTGTGCTACTTTAGGAGGCAAAGTGGTCCATGACTTAGCTGAGAGGTGGTGAAGTAGATGTTACAGTCACACAGACAGACCAGAGTTTATTATACAGTGTTTGACGCTGAAGGTCAGATTCAAGTGCCTGCAGCGTCTTTTCAGTTCTGTTTACATCTCTGGCATTGTGCACATTAAGTTTTTCCATCTTAATAATATATTTATTGTTTATATTTAGTTTTATTTGCACTTGTACGTTCCACTTTAGAACAAATCATTTGGTACGAGTGTTTCTTGCTCTCAGCACACAGCGTCACCTGCACAGAGACGTCCCTATGAGTCATGAATAGGTGGTCTGTGGAGTTGGACATGGTTGGACCTACCTTGTATCTCCTCTTCAGGTTGTCCCACTTCTTTGCCAACTGATCCGTGGTCAGCTTCCCCTGAAGACCCAGCTCGTACAGGATGGCTCTGAAAGAAATAACACTCAGGTTGAATCTGACTGAAGACTTGAGACACTACAGATGAGTAAGGCTGTAGTGAATCAAAGACAATCTTGTTTGACTGAATTTTTACTGACTGTTCAACCTATCGATTAGTTGATGGGGAAAAATCTGCACATTGTCTCTAGATTATTTAAATCTGGCACAGTATACTGACTGACTCTACCAACGCATTCTGTCATGAGTATAGCTTTTTTTTTTCTTTGAATATTTACACTCTGCTATAAACCCTAGCAATAAAAATTGTGTGTCCATTCTGCAATAAGCGATGTACATTAAATAATGTTTAACTTTACAGTAAAACGCTGTGTTCATCACTGTCTCTTTTTACCCAGCTGTCCAATCACAGTGGAGCAGGGGCAGGCAGGCAACAATCATGTTGAATCCTTCTGCTTCCTCATAAAATGTTTTAAAGACATTTTCTAAAAACATTTTGAATATTTTGTGTTGTTTATATCCATGTTTCCCTCGCATGCAGTCTCCTTCACTTTTCCTTGTTGCAACATTTCTTTGTGTGTTACTGCCACCAAATGCACATCAGTGAAATTACTTGAAACCAACAGCAGGATGTGTGCGCATAATACAACCAAAACAGGGACCTACTCATAAACTCCACAGGGTCACTTTCAATCAATCAATCACTATTAGTCATTATTAACTCTGCTGGTTTGGAGCCTGTACACACACTAAGCTGCTCTGACAGACTCGATTCTAACTCTGTGAGGTCTGGATATTAAGAGTCTCACAGCTCAGCTCTACATGATTGGAGGGAAGCTGCTCTGGACCTGCTGTAGGAAGGAAAGAGAAACCATCTGAAACTACACTCACCTCCAGGCTGGTTTGGCTGAATGTTTCCTTCCAGTGAAGAGAGCTTCGTTCGCAGCTCGAAGTTTGATCATTCTCTCTGTTTCTGGTTCGGTCACTGTGAACAAAAGGAAGTTTTTAGTTACATGCTGATACACATATAAGACAAAAAAATAGTAAATCCCTGTGCACAGCAGCACAGTGCTTCTTCTAGGTGCCAGCTGGTGCAGGATAAAAACTTCCAGCGCACACTAGAATATCAGGATTGACACAGAGTTTATTCAAAAATGTTTAAAAACAAAAGGAGCGAATAACGCGTTTCGCATGTTGCAACATGTTGCAACGTGCGAAACGCGTTGTTCGCTCCTTTTGTTAAGGTAGAAGAATTAAAAAGCTTAGAAGAACAACAACAATTCACTTTGCAATAAATTAAATTTCCTATCTGTGTTGGATCTGAACACACTGAGTCTTCGAGGATAAAACCCTTCAGTCTGCCTACTTTTATAGGAGCACTCGGTCATCCTTCTCCAGCCCATGGGGACCCCCTCAGCAGGAGGAGCCTCCGTGTGAACCGTCCCATCATCCCCTGCTGCTTCTTGCGCCACTGTGTCCTCCATCTCCGTTTTAATGAGGAACTCCAAGATGTCGGTGTTCTCCTGGTTCTGGTTGGGCTGGCTGTTGCAGCGGTGACCAGTGTTGCTGGCATTCTCTGGGCTCAGCACCAGGTTGCTGTTATAGAGGCGACCATGCATGGCTTCATCCATGATGTGGAACCAGGGCCACGACTCCACGACACCCCCGATGTTGTCCTGGCCCTGATAGGGCTGCTTCAAGTCCTGGAAAAGACATCGAGACTTACAGACACCCTGTTTTTCCAATGTGGCTCAGTTAAGGCCCCGGTCAGATAGAGAGCATTTTGCAGCTTGCTGTGTCCTTTTTTATTTTTTTTTTTAATTGTTGTTGCTAGGCAATCACCAAATTACCTATCATTAGCTTAATGGCTATTTTGCTGCGAGTCACAGATCTGTGCCTTAAATTCTGAATAAAAAATGGACAGGCAGAGAGCACTTGGGGGCTGCTCACAGGGAAACAGAGATCTGTGTGGGTACATGAGACCCTCAGGAAGTGGAGAAGTCACATGGAGTACGACAAGCTGGTCTCTAGAGCTTCGCCTGCATGATGCTTTATTGTACAATAAGTCTAGGACAGTTGGCAATCTGCTGTCAATCGTGGGGACTAATTATGGTTGGTAAAATGTTAGAAAAGTAGCAGAGGCTACAGCTTGCTCAGATATGTCTTACAGCTTGCCTTGCCTTACAAGGCACTCAGCAACACAAAAGCAGTGAGTACAAGGCTTTACTGTCATTGTAAACAATAACAAAAAGCGACTCAGGCTGCTAAATTGAGTTCTGTCTGATCGGGGTATAATCCAGGCTAAAATAATCCTGTTAGTTCTAGGGCTGTCCAGAGTACCATATTCGTGGATTCAAAGCTTCAGTTATAATTACTAGTGAGTATCTGAAGCTTTGATGGGATGGACGGGGGTAACAATAATCAATCATATCCATACATGATAAAAGCACACCCACACCGTTGTGTGTATGAGAGAGAGTAATAGAGAGGAGGAAGAGAAAGTGGAAAGTGGAAAGTGGACTATTGCAAGCAATGTTTCTGTAAATTATTAATAACTCAGGTCGGGCCTCATCACCAGATGCAAAGCAAGCACTTCCCTACAACTGGCAGCCACAGATGATCGTCTGCAATTCTTCTCACCTGTTCCTTTTCCTCATCGGACTGGGCTTAGGACACTGGCCTCATTCATGTCTGACTTTTTTTTTTATCTTTCACTTTCCTCCACCATTTTAGTATCAAAAAAGCAAAAACAAAAATCAAAGCATTTGAATACTGATTTGGATGTTGATTACCATGGCAACGACTGAAGCTTCGAAGCATTTAGGTGAGCCCTAATTACTTCTCTTTCAGAGAGAGTGCCCAGAAAATGGGAAAAAAAAGACACATTGCATACAGAATTAAAACATTACGCACAGCGCAAAATCCACATAGCACATAATATAAAAGAGGTAGCTATGAAGTACTAGAGCGTGAGAGTGCACTACAGCTGATTATTTTGTGTGCTGATTGAGAGTGTGAATGGTCGAAAAAAAAGCTAACTTGGTTCTTCAAACACAATTAACGGACTGATTTGTTGAACCTTAATTTAGGTAATAACAGTGCACTTTTATTTTGAAATAAAGACAACACAAGTAGAGAGATGAAGCCGTAATCAGCTCTCATATGATTGGCTGCTCATGAACAAAAGATTCATGGACTTCAGTCTCATTTAATGAAACTTGTTCCTTCCTTCATATTACTGTAATTAAGTTAGGAATTAGAAATGAACGCTGTTAGACTGTCACATCTAAATACAGTGAGTGGGAAGTGGAAGACAATTTAAGACTTTAATACTTTTATTTATGAACTTATTCTGTTCTGTATTTCATTATATTTTTGTATATAATTTATCTCTTATATGTGATAGTGTGATGATAATAATGACACCAATGGATTTCTGAAAAACCTGCCTGATCTCATCTAAAACCTTTACTTGCCTGAGAATGTTAAATGTTTTTTTGGAAATGGGTTCATATAAAACAAACCGCTGGTATTTATTAATGGTCTCACAGCAGCAATCAGACCAACAAACACCCAGGTATCCTATCTCTGCAGTCTCTGGATGTTTTAACTAAATAGTGGTAGATAAAATGCCTCTCTGAGCCACTGCTCCTTCAGATAAACACTTCAATCACCAGACGGCTGGTGACTGAAGCCTCAAGCCTCACTGCGTCACATGTTACCTTGTATTTTGTCCGCAAGTTGTCCCATTTTTTGGCAATCTGGTCAGCTGTCAGCTTCCCCTCCAGACCGAGGCCCTTTAAGATGGTGCTGAGGAACAAACAGGAGCGTCAACTGAGAGGAAAACTCACCAACAGACAGTTGTAGAGGAAATCCTTTACTGCAGTAAAAGTACTAACACCAAACTTTAAAAATACTCTGTTACATTAAGAGTCCTGCATTGAAAATGTTCCTTCAGTAAAAGTACGTAAGCATAATCAGTTAAATGTTGTTAAAGTACAGTCCCGATTCCAAAAAGGATGGGACTCTGTGTCGAACAAATAAAAAGACAATGCAACACATTCATTTATATACAGTTAAAAGACAAGTTATTTAATGTTCAAATCGATATAGTTCATTATTTATTTAAATATCCACTTATTCTGAATTTGATACCAGCTGCAACAAGCTCCAAAAAAGTTGGGAAAGGGGCAACGAAAGATTGGGGAAATTGTTGAACACTCAAAAACACTGAAACATTCCACAGGTTAATTGGTAACAGGGCTGGGAATGAAAGGGGCATCATCAAAAGGCTCAAAAGGTTCACAAGCAAGGATGGTGACTTTGAAAAATGGTGTGGCCAAAGAGTTAAACACTTTAAGAGCAACATTTCTCAATGCAGAATTGCAGGAATTTATGGATTTCACTATCTACAGTCCATAATATCATCAAAAGATTCAGAGCATATGGAGAAATCTGCATATAAGAGACAAGGCTGAAACCAACACTGAATGCCTGTGACCTCCAACCCAACTTCAGGCAGCACTGCATTAAAAACCAACATGACTGCATGAAGCAGTGGTGTCAAACCCATTTTAGTTCACGGGCCATAAACAGTTTGATTGGATCGCAGGTGTGCCAGACCAGTAAAACCACTGCATAATACCCTATACATAACAAACACCTTAAAAAAGAACATTTTAAAAACGCTAATCATTTTACAAAACAGATGACAGCCTGTGATTTCTCCACATTCAGTCAGTCAACTACTCGCTGTCATTTCATGTGCATCTTTCTGTACATTCCCACTCCTATGCAGTAATCCTGACATCACTACACCAAACTAAAGTCAAAGAAAAAATGTATATTCTTGTCGGAGTGGAAAACGGCTCTAACGCAGCATGTTGCAAGAAGAAAGCTACTCAGTGTTTAACTTGCTCCTGAAACCTGGCACCTCTTATGGTGAATTTATACTTCTGCAGAGGAAATCTCCGCTTGTCGCTAGGCTAATTTATACAATGTAAAATGTCATAGGCTTGTGCTAACACGTTAGCATGTTGTATTTGTTTGGAAAATGTGTTTAGTATAAGACAGTTGTTTTGTCAATGAATCTTGTGAGCTGTAATGAAGCCGACTTTTGCTATGTTGTCTTTGTTAAATGTTGCTGTTGTCCCTGGCTTCATATCAGCAGAGGAAATTTCCGCTATCCGCCAGGCTAATTTATACAATGTAAAATGCCATAGGCTTGTGCTAAAAACATTAGCATGCTCTATCTGTGGGGAAAATGTGTCCAGATAAAGACAAGTGTTTGTCTGTGATAGCTACGAGTTATAGTGAAACTGATTTGTGTAGTTGTGTTTGAAATTGTTGCTATTAAGCCATGTTTAATGTGTGTTTAATGTGTGTTTTGAATCAACTAAACTTTACAGCACTTCACAGAAACTCCACTACCAGTGTTTTGGAGGTGTAACTGTAGAGTGACACAGACACCACCGCACAAGTATAAATGCTCACAATGGCATAGGTCTGCCACACAACTATGAATCCCGCTTTAGCCCTCACAAGTGCATCACTATTAGGTGTGTAAGGTCATCCAGTGGGCCGGATTGGACCCTTTGGTGGGCCGGTTCTGGCCACCAGCCATATGTTTGACACCGTGGTATAAAGAATATCACTACATGGGTTCAGGAACACTTTGGAAGACCATTATCAGTTACCACAGTTTGTCAATGCATCGACAAATGCAAGTTAAGACTCTACCATGCTAAGTGAAAGTCATTTATCAACAGTATCGAGGATACACCACCGACCACATCAAAGACATCCCCTCCGTTGTGTCCCCAAGCAGTCCAACTTTTTAGAAATGTGTTTAAGGCATCAAATTCAGAGTAAGTATTTACAAAACACAATAAAGTTTATCAGATTGAACAATAAATATTTCATCTCTGTACTGTATTCAACTGAATATAGGTCAAAAAAGAACTTACAAATCATTGCATTCTGTTTTTATTTACATCTTACGCTGCGTTTTCTAACTTTTTTTGGAATCAGGGTTGTATTAAAGGTATTAAACTGTCCCCTGTGAATATCATATATGATCTAATTAGATGGTTCTGACTCATGCATTAATATAAAAGCAGTACCTTAGATTTGTACTCAACTTTCAGTACTTGAGTAAAAGTACTTAAACTACTGCCAACAGAAAACTTTTAAAATCCAAACCCTGGCTCATACCTCCATGCTATCTTGGCAGAGTTTCTCTTCCCTGTGAACAGAGCCTCGTTGGACGCCCTGAACTCAATCAGCCTCTTCACATCCTCCTCAGTCACTGCAGGTGGAGGGGTCAAAGGTCAGGAGTTAGGGCAAACTCACCTGTGCAGGTGTTTACATTACACACACCAGGATTACTTACTCTTATAGGAGTTTTCTGGGAACTGTGGCAGCGGATTCAGGGCTGACTCCATTGTGATCATGGAAGACGAGAGGGTCTGTGCTCCTGGGTCAGCTAGGGAGGAAGGAAGGGAAGGAAGCAAGGAAGGCTGGAAGTGTGCTGGTACTCAGGCCCGATGCTAACTAACTACATCCGCTAGCGCATCCTGCAGGTTTACCGGGTCCGTTTCCCCCGCAGCAGCGCTCCCCCGTCCATCATGTGAGGCAGTCCCGCTACAGATTAACCGTAACTTTGACCGGGCGGCGGTTAGATGTCTCCTCCCGAGGCTAACTCCCGGTAAACCGTTAAAAGAAGCAGTCTGCTAGCTAGCCTGAGGTAGCTAACCTAAACAACAAACCGACACGGAGCGGGGCTTCCCGCCACAAGACGACACCGGTTTCCGTTAGCTTGGCCCGATTCTGGTATCCGTTGTCTCACGTTATTATGTGCCATCGTCGCTGGAGTGACTGTAGCTGTAAATAAAGCCGTTACCGTTACCGGAGCTAGCCTGCATCCCGTTTGCTCTGCTCTGAGAGGAGGGTGCGCTCGATAACTCCGCCCTGGATCTGCCCTCCGTCACGGGACACACATCTGGGGAGGGCGGGGTTGGATATATAAACATAAACAGTGCAGCAAAATATTTAATAGGAACATTTTTACATTTAATACAATACAAATATTCAACGTTTCATATTTTCATAACATATAAAAACTATTACCATTTTTTATTTTCATTTTATTCTTGTTTTAGTTTAGGAGTTATGACCACTATTAATATGTAATAAAATAATATAATATAAAACTACTGCACAACAATTTCCCAAAATTTTAATGCTACTATAAGACATTATTATTATTATTATTATTATTATTATTATTATTATTATTATTATTATGACTATTATTTCACCCCTTTTCTCTGTTGTTTGTCATATTCCATACAGATGTATTAGGGGTTGGGGAAGAAGTATTTAGTGTAGCAATAACATTTCGATCCACAAATGTAGAGTATCAATTTCTTTTATTATACAAATGATTGATAATGCAAATACAAATTAAACTTTTGATAGATAGAATAATAAACTGCTTTTTCAGTCCACTAGATACAACAATAAAAATTATTGAAATGAGATGAACAGACTGAAAACTTTATCTTATTAGATAAAACAGATGTTGACAAATTTTACTTTTGGGAAAAAGGTAATAAATTACAGTATATTGTAATGTATGTTGTCACAATATTTAGCAAATCACAAAATGTTTAATGTATCTGAACTATCATGATAATATCGTATCATGGGGCCTCTGGTGATTCCCACCTCAAATACGAATCATATTCAGTTCTGTACGTCACCTTGTTTTCTTTGTCAGTGGATATTTTTTTGTTACTTTTACAGTTACACTTTAGTTTGTTTATTGCACTAAAAAATAGAGAGTGGAGATGTGTCATCAGCTGTGCTCTGATGTTTAAAAATGCAGCAAGTTTCTGCCACAGAGTTGACACTTCCATGCCTGGAAAACCCTTAAAAGAGGTACAGATGCAAAAATCCAGTTGTAGCTGTGGAAACGAGGTGTCTTGGTTTGCCTATTGTGTCAGCTAACATTTCTCTAATACCTTATTCTCCACCAAATGAGCTCTGGTTCTTGAACTGGTTCCTTTCATGATTATTGGACTCTACGATTTTTTTATCAACAGTGTGTTTCACAATGCACAATGGAAGTAGCAGCAAAATCACACATCACATTGATTACCTTTGTTCTGTTATTACAGATATTTGTTTTTATCCAAAAAACAAGTATGGACCAACTATTACTGGGACCACTGCATGCTCCTTTTTTTCTCATGATTCCTGACGTGACCTATTGTTGCCTTTTCCATTCTCTCTTTACAACCTGTAGAATAAGACACGCCCACTGAACTCATCACAGTTTGCACCTCAGGCCAAGGGAACCCTGCTATTTTTTGGTTCCAGCTAAGAATCAACTTTTCGGGTACCAAACCAATTTGTTTTTGGTCAAAATGCTCCTAACGAATCAAAAATAGGCGCAGGAATGCTAACGAAACCCTTCCATCTTGGTGGGAAAGGGTTGACAGTGAGATCTAGGATTTTAACACTGGTTTTAATTTGGCGACTAAGTGTGTCACTACGTCCTGTCACAATTGTCAACTTTCATGTGTGTTGGATTTAGTGTCATCAAGAGGTGAGGCTGCAGATGCAACCAACTGAACACCCCTTCTCTCACACTCACTTTCCAAGCATGTATTCGAACCTAAGGTGGCCTCCATGTAACAAAAACACTCGAAAGGTGAGTGTTGGGCTTGTCAGTTCTGGGCTACTGCAGAAACATGGCGGTGCAACATGGAAAGCTCAGTAGACGTAGACCTGCCCCGTGTGGATGTCTCATTCTAAGCTAATGAAAACACAACGATTCTTTCAGGTGATTTTACACTAAAGAAAATGCACTTATAAATATTAGCTTAAATTTCTGCCCATATATCCCCCAAAGTCCTACACACTGGCTCTTTAAATGGAGGTTTTTACATCAAAGCAGAGGAACACAGAGTCTTTATTAACACATGAAGAGCAGTTGGCAACAGGAACAACCAAGCTGCCAGGAATAGTTGTCAGAGGTCCAAATCTGTTTATCTGAGGGCCTTTTGAAACATGAACTTTATCTATACAACACAGAACAACACGTCCTCCGCTCACAGTTTCTCAACAAGCCTCTGGAACAAAGAAACCAGTCTCTGTCTGGTCTCCAGCTGGTCTGGATCCAGATCTGCAGTCATCAGCCTCTGGAAGAACTTGGTCTGTAGCACGACTTCCCTTTCTGTCGCCATCTCAGGCCGATGTCCGTTTTTCTCTCTCCTCACCAGCTCTTTCTCTAAATCCTCTCTGGCTCTCTCTAGAAACACTCGGTCTCTCTCTAGAAAAGCTCGGTCTCTGTCTAGAATCGCTCTGTCTCTGTCTAGGCACGCTCGGTCTCGATCCAGATTCACTTGGTCTCTCTCTACAGCTGCTCTGTCTCTTTCCACAGAAGCTCTGTCTCTTTCTAAAGCTGTTCTGTCTCTCTCCAGAGTGGCTATGTCTCTGTTCAGCAGCTCTCTGTCTCTTTCTAAAGCTATCAGCTCTCTGTCAAACTCAGCCTGCTCTCTTTCCAGAGCCTGCCACTCTCTCTGCAGCTCAACCAGCTTGTCGTCCACCTCAGTGGCTGCCTTGGCGGTGTGGCCAGAGGAGGTAGAAGGCTTGTTGACGTTGGAGGTGCAGTCAGGCAGTAAGGTGGCGTAGAGCACAGCAGTCTGGCTGCTGTTTATCACAGGCTGACTCTCCATCATAGTCAGCTCACACTCTGTGCTTCTCACATGATTTCCGTCTCCTCTGGTTGCAACAACTTTAGCAGGTGATACACTTGTGTTCACTGCCTCAACATTCCCTGACGCTTCGATGACACTGAGCTCCAGTACCTCCTCGATCATACTGTCATCCTCAAGAGGTGCTGAATCATCTCCTCTCAGTCCAGAAAATGTTGCATTTGAGCTGGGAAGAGTGAGCGGAGGCAGAATGGCCTTGTGATCCTCATCCTCATCCACCAGGCATGGCTTGACTATGGCGGCGGTCCCGGCCAGGTCGCCGCTCAAGGCCTTTTCCATCAGGTGAAACCAGCGCCACGAGCTGGGCCGGGTCACGTTCTCCATGCCCACTGGAGGGTTCTTCAGCGCCTATACAGGAAAAGGACAGCAGAGTTTAAAGGTGTCTTATAGTAGTCTATCAGCAGTATCTATGACTTCACTCAAACTGGAGATGTGTCTCACTGAGATTAAAAATCTTCTACAGTGGGACAACATTAGGGATGTACGTGATTAACTGACTTGGCACCAGGAATATCAGCTGGTTACACTTAGTATTATTTATTTTATTCTATTTTTTAGAATTTCTTTCGGTCAGCAAATAGAAATAAGAACATCATGTATTAATTTACAAATTCATGTAGATAAAGTCACAGCCTCTCACAGAAAACGGCAGATACTTAAATAGTACAGTGCAAAACATTACAGTAAAGTAATTTAACATAACTTGGACACCTCTGTAGTCGGAAAAAGGTGTAGGCTGAAGCTACAGCTTATAACACCTACCCTTTTAATGGCACATCATATTTAGCAATCAACAACAAAATAAACCAAAACAGGCAAACAAGATGAAATACAACACACACAAAAGAAAAAAACAACTAACAAAAGGCAACTTACACACTTTAAGTTCCTGTGCCCTGTTCGTCTTCGTCAGTATTCGGCTTCCTACCTCTTGAGCAAAAGCAAATGCCACAGCCCTTTTCTCTGGTCATGTAATACTAATTTTTAAAGTATTAATGTCTTTCTAGACAGCCCAGTTTTATGAAAGGACCTTCTTTCCAGCAGTGAAATACTTCTTTAACTCAAGGTCTGTCCAAAACCATCAAGTCCTCAAGAGACCTCACGCAGACTGCAGTTTCTGCCACTTGTGTTGCAGACTTCATTAGGAAGGTTATGGCAATATGGATGTGATGATGTAAAGAAATTAAGATTGATAATAACAGTAATAAAGCAGATCAACCACTTTAATAAAATGCTGCACACAATTTAATAGCCATACTTTTCATAATATTAATAATTTTTCTTTTTTAATGTATAATTTTGCTGATGCAGTTATATTTACCTTGCTGTTAAGAGTATTTCAGGAAAAAACTTTAAGATGGGTTGACACTGTGTTAAATTAATGAGTTCTTAAGTCCATCTTACATCATGTTATCAGCCAAGGTGCCAAGAAGAGGACTGTAGCTGTGTCCCAAATTCAGACTCCACACTAAATCTAAGATGGTTTAGAGTCTGAGGCCTGAAGTATTCACACTGAGAGAAACACTGACTGTAAAAATAACAAGAAAAGCTGGACTGACCCTGTACTTTTCTTTCAAGTTGTCCCATTTCTTCTTCAGCTGCCGTGGCGACACCAGGCTACTCTGGATCCCCATTTCTTTCCTTATGGCCCTGCAGGAGAGCAGAGAGTTCATCGTCAGTGATGTGGATCACATGCAGTATCTGAATGTAGTCTGAGAGATCAAAGAGGAAAACCAGACTGACCTCCAGCCTCTCATGGCAGAGTTCCTCCTGCCAGTAAAGATGGCGTCATTTGTGGCACGAAGGTGTATCATCAGTGAGATGTCTCTGTCCGTCACTACAGAAACACAGTCATCATCAGTGTCATTATTTAAGGTTTCACCACATTTGTTTCTGCTGAAAGAAGCTGCCTCATTTTAAAGAGTCATCTGTTTCCTGCTGAGTTAAACAATAAAACTGTCAGGATAAAACATGTTTTTTTTCTTGAGGACTGTAAAGAAAACCACTGTGTAATCGGACATCACATCTGTGCTGGACTGTGGAGATATCCTGTACTCTCTCACTGCTCATTCCACCTTTTAACAACTTGATCCAGTTCACTGTACCCCGTGTGCCAATACAGGGGATAAATATTGCACTCATCAAAGTAAGAAACAGTAGCAACAGGAAGAGAATTGCTCACTATCGTCTCAGTTTATAAATGTCTCCTACTGAAGCTGTTTGAGTATATGACATCTTCTCCAATTTAAAATTACAGCTCATCAGAGCAGATCTCAGGTCTGGCTAACTCTGATACTGCCACCAGTAAATACTGAACTGAAAAGACGTTAAAACTTCAAAGTTAATTGCATGGCGGAAATTTAAACTGTTAATTCTGAATATTTTAGAGATGTGCGTGATTGTTTCTGATGCCGTTGTTGTGTGTCTAATTTCTGTTCTATTTCTTCTGATGTAGCTACTCAACACTGTTATAATCAGTGGTTGAAAGTAACAAACTACATTTGCTAAAGTAATGTACTTAAGTTCGAATTTGAGGTACTTATACTTCACCTGAGTATCTTCATTTAATCTCAGAGGGAAATATAGTTTTTTATTCCACTACATTTATTTGATAACTATAGTTATTAGTAAGTTTTCACATTAAGTTTTTTACACAAGAATCATGTGTGCTTCTAAAGTATGTAAGATTCAGCCTCACAAGCAAATATAAGAATAGCTTCAGCTCAACCACGTGAATAATCACATACAATGTCAATATAACCTCTGTAACGTATGACATCGGACTAAACTCTCCACAAATGTTACGTAAGACACTTACAAATGGGTCATTCTGCGAAATGAGCACTTTAGCTTTCAACACTTTAGTACATTTTGTTCACAATACATGTTGAATGCAGGACTTTTCATTGTAATGGAGTGTTATTGCCGGTTGATACTTATACCAACAATAATTACCTGTCTTGAAACCTTCTGATATCTCTGCCACTATCAATTAGGGCTAAATATTTAATACAGTAAATAACGTGTCGAACGTCAGTTAGCAAGACACACGTTACCACGAAAACAGTGTTACCATTATGAGCTAACGTTAGCATCTCCATCACAACAACAACGTCACGAATTAAATGTTTTATTAAATGGCTGTGAGTTTGTCCGCAAAAATATCATCTTAAATATCTAAAAATGTGTTTAAATCACATTACTTTTATATGTGTTCTCCATTTTTCACGCTTTTAGTTCCTCTCACCAACAACTAGACACATCCGGCGGCAACCGGAAGAAGCTTCTTCTTCTGTAAATCAGCGGGAGTCACCGGTGGCGCTCTTCTGCCACCAGCAGGCGGATTTATATACTTTTTTTTTTTTTTTAATTTGGGTAGCAAATATTATTAAATTATCATTAAGTTTCAGTCAATAAAAATACATAAAAATAATACAAAAACCAGAAATGAATTAATAAAAAAGTTAAATAGTTAATGACACGTGTTTAAACACTGATGCAGATTTAAAGATAACCAAGAGGGAGTCAGATTTAAACAAACTCTTCAGACAGATAAAGTTTTTAAAACATATTAATATTCAATGGCATTTATTCAAATAATAAAACATATATGGTGATATTATGGAAAAATAACACAAAGTCAATATTATATTATATTATATTATATTATTTTGTATTATATTACATAAGGGCAGGTGGTGTATTTACAATACCTCAAACCTTAGATAACATTGAACTTATTATAACTTTATGTTGTTCTGTTCTCAAAGCTTAAAAAGTTGTTTCTGTTTCACTGCCGCACAACAGCAGAAAAAAAAAAAAAAAAAATATCATAAATAAAGTGATTGATTGGTAATATACTAAAATTTTTAAGGGATACAGGAACTTTTTATTAAAACAATTTTAATCCCAAAAGCACTCACATTTTCGTGGGTGTTGGCAATAAAAAGAGGATAACTTAAGGGACTTTTGGTACACTCTTTCTTATTAGTAACTGTGTAATCATCGCAAAAAATATTTTAAAAATCCACTCACTAAAAAAACCTCCATGAATTAAATAAATATCACAGTAAGAGTTTTTCATTGAATAATTAACTTGATTTATTTCAGTGTTTACAGGAAGTGAACGCACCTCTGTCGCCCTCTATGGGCAGCAGGAAGCCTCTACAGCGTGAACCTGCTCAGCATCCTGCAGCACGAGCAGCTGTCAGGATCAATGTTGTTACGTAACACCGGAAGTGAGTCCAATATTTCAAAATCAACGTCTTTTAAAGTTGACAAAACTCCCTGGAAACTAGTAACCCTTAAAAAAAGATGTGAAGTATGGAAATCATATTTTTAGATGTCACATAATGGCTCTGGTTGTCAATTTTTTTTTATATATATATATTTGTTTTGAATTATAGCTGAAATAGTTAGTTGATCAGCTGAATGCAATTAGTCATCACCTACTTTGATTATCAGTTTACTTTATAAATTATTTTTATGGTAAAATTGTCAGACAGTCCTCACTGTTTCGTTATTGTCTCTGACATTGTTTTTGGTTTTAAATAATTTGACAGACATGGTTTTCTAGACAAAATAGTTCAATTAATTAAGAAGATAAATATTTGATAATGACAACAATCATTATCTGCAGCCTCATATTGCATATTCTGGTATCTTATTAGCCAAGTTTTATTTACTGAAGCTGTGATGTGTGATGTGCTAAAGATCAGATGTAAAATACTTTTTTTTTTTTTTTGTATATTTTAATCTTAACCCCTTTTACTTTTCTTTCTTTCATTTTTTTTCTCTTTTGTGTTCATTAATAAAACATAAGCCAAACAGTTGGGTAAACTGCATGTAAGCAGGTACTTAATTAAAAAAGACAAGTATTACCAGAGACATTTCCTTTAAAGTATGCAAAAGTTCCTGTTATGCACAATGGCTCCTGTCACAGTGTTAAAGTTGTTTTTTATTTTACTTTTCTTACTGATAAACTCACAGGAATCCAAGCTATTTTATATAACTTTAGTTATAGTAACTTTATAGCAAATCTGATCAGCCACAACTGAAAACACGTGAGAGGTTGTGCAGAGCTTTTAATCTGTAACAATGCATCACATTTGATCAATTAATCATATGTTTTGTCTGTAAATTTAAAGTAACTGCAGCTGTTCGATAAATGCAGTGGAGTAAAATAACCTTACATGTAGTGGAGTAGAAGAAGATATTGCGAATATTCAAATAAAGTCAGTCTACTTACTTTATACTGCAGGAAATAAATCAAACTAGTAGCCTATCTATATACTCTAAAAAAAATTATAGGGTTTGGGGATAATGTTCAAAATAAAGACACTTTTCAGCATGTAAAAAAACGTTGTTTCAGATTTGAGTGTTTTAGTCAGTTGACAACTTATTTTAAGAAGTTGGTTAAAATTAAAAGCATATTTGACATTTGAGTGGGATGGAATTAAAAGAAATAGGTTAGAAATAGGTTTAGACCACTAAATATCTGCAAAACTTTTGGATAAATATTAAGTTGGTCCTACTAAATAAAGTGTTACTAGGTCAAAGTAAATCATGTTGGTTGTGCTGAACTAACTGAGTTTGTAAGATTATAAAAGACTACAGTTTACTCAATAATGCCAGAGCTGGAAGTACTTAAAAAGATACATGCAATTTTTTTTTTACCTTATTTTTCTTTTAAGCTGAACCAGTGGGATTTTTTAGAGTGACAGGGCAAATCAAGACATACCAAAATACAGATTATGATACAGGATTATTTTTTTCACTTCAGTTTTTCTATCTTTAATCAAGCTTAAAGGGACTTCTGCAAAAAAAAAAAAAAAAAACCTGACACCTGTCTTTCGTTTAAAGAAACAGTGTTAGTATTTTACAGAGCCACTGAGCAGATACTAATACTCAAATACTGGCGAATTTTGCTTTTTAAAAACCTAATTATGTAAATACATATGTTGTGCTACGTAAATATTGTAAATTGATGCATTTAACGACAACTAATTACCAAAAAAATCAGAGTTTTGTCCCTCTGTATGGGGTAATTAAATTGCCCACCAAATGACTTCCGGGAACAGCACAGAATTGCCAAGCATTTTGGACCTCCACTGTCGCACCTCTATTCAAGGGCTCTGGTGTTTTATTTTGAAGGTGATGACCGGAAGCTCCGCCTTGTTTCCGGTAACTTTACAGCAGGTCCTGCGTTGAGGTTATCTGAAGAACCTGATGGGGAAGTGATGGAGTCCGTATTGTGTCTCACGTAGACGTAAATAAATCAGATAAATAAGACACATCTGATTTTGTTGGTGCTCGAGAGAAGCTGCTGTTTGAAACCAGGTAACTTTACCGTGTTTATCACCTGCGTTTACGTATATGTTCACCCCGCTGTGTGCAGGACAGTAAATAAGGTCCTTGTTGATCATTCTGAGTAAATAATATATAGGCCTATATTAAAATAACAATCTGCTGGTTGTCTGTGCTGTTTAACGTTGATTTATTTTCTTAATGGCTGCTGATGCTAATAACACTATAACTGACATAATAATGTAATTAAATATATGTCAGCCTTTCAGCTCCTTGATGTGTGTCTGCATAATTTAATAATTCAGTACTATTTTAAATTCCTTTAGCTCACTATTACATGCACAAAGGCAATATTTTGTGACTTAATTCCATAAAATAGCCTATTATTATTATGGCTAAAATCAATCCACTGTCTCCTGGACTGACATTCATTAAAAATAATAATAAATAAATCATATAATCACCCTTTAAATCTGTGGTTTTCCCCCATGAGGACAAATGGTCCACAAAATTTCTAAAAAATAATGGTCTCAAATTTTTCTTCAAGCAGAAAGAATGTCATTAAAATTTTGTTTACAGTCAATTCTTTTATGGTGTAAACCATATAAAATAATGAGAAACTACTTCTCTATAATATTACCTTATATTATCGGTCTTTAACATTTGAGCCTTGATTTAACTAAAACTTCAGACTTGGGACTCTGATACAAGACACCAGTTTCTTGGAGCTTTCCATGTAGTCCTATTGATAATGACTATATGTGTACACAGAACATACATGTGCTTCAATATTAAGTTGGTATTATGTGCATGCTACTATGAAATGTGTTTATTTAACTGTGTATGACATCGGCTGAAATTTTTCCTTAAAATACAAACTCTCTTCTTTCTATTAGTCCTTTACATTGTGTATTGAAGATCACATTAACCTGCACTTATCCGTCTATGAATAATTCACTATCATCTGAAAGCAAACAGTGACCCATGGGCTAAATAGTTCCTCCAATAAAGATATGTTGCCATGTGACAAAAGCTGAATGTGAATAAACATGATTAAACATAATGTAAATAAAACCTTATCACAATAACTGATCCGTGAACATGATTTCTGCCTTAGTTACGTTAGATTTTTGTCGACAATTGTGGTTGTTTAACGATGATCCCACGCTACTTCACAACGTCATCAAAGTCTGCCTTTTGTTATTGCTCTATTTGAGAGACCCCTAGCAGCAGAAATTACATACAGAGTGTTTATTAGATGAATATTAGGTTAATAATGTCATTTACTTCTTTACGATCAAGCAGATTCTATGTCAGTTCAAACACAGCTTTAATTTCACGTCTGAAACCTGTTTGACCATGAAGGAGTTGTTTCTCACAAACAGGCGAACATAAACAATATGCTCTAACCAAAACCACATTTTAATTCAATCAGAAATGAAGAGGGCTGCTGATGTGTGGATAACCAATCAATTACATTTGTGGTCTTGTGGTACAACACAGAACTTACATAACTCTGTTCGCTCATTTCTGCACTGATGGGAAAAAAGGACTTAAGGTCTCAAATACAATCCTAACATCATTATTATTTAATAGAATAAACAAACCAATTGTATTGAACATGGTTTCAACCACATATAAACTTAAGTGTTTCTATGTGTGTGTGTGTGTGTGTGTGTGTGTGTGTGTGTGTGTGTGTGTTTTTGTGTGTGCAGCATCATGTTGGCCAGGAAGGGCCTCCTGCCAGACGGTTTCCTGCTGACCCGTCTGGCGGAGGACCAGAACCAGCCGAACCGCAGCCGCTCCAGATCTCAGAGAGCTCGCTTCATCACCAAGACTGGATCCTGCAACGTGGCCCACAAGAACATCAGGGAGCAGGTAGAGGAGAGGGGAGACGTACGAGGAGAAACTTACAAGGGACAGCATATGATGTGAAATGTACGATCAGGGGAAACATATCAGGAGAACCATACAAGGGGGTAACTTACAAAGGGCAACATTAAGAGTAGAAACATATGAGGGGAAACATACATGAGAAGGCACAAGCGGAGAGGCATACGAGGAGAAACATATGAGGGGAAACATGAGAGCCATACCAGAGGAAACATGAGGAGACACATGAGGGAAAACATAAAAGGAGAAACATGAGGAGAAACAAATGAGGGGAAACGTGCAAAGCCCAAGCTTATAGCCCAGCAAGCTCTCACTGTGGGCTGTGTGCGCTGAACCCAGCCACGTCCCTGCATCTGCACAACATGCCACAAAAGTTTAAGCAAGACATTTCAATCAACTCGGATCTTCATCAGAATAAAAAAACAAAAACCAATATTCCCCCTTTAACACTGTCCCTCAACACCAGATTACGACAGATCATGTGATTTGGGCTGCGAGTCTGAACATTTCTGAGTGATTCCCACATATCCTTGAATTTTAAAGATGCCTCTGTGCCAGTTAAGAAATGTACATATGAGACACTTTCTCTTCTTCGTGTGTTTCAGGGTCGCTTCCTGCAGGATGTTTTCACCACCATGGTGGACCTGAAGTGGCAGCACTCCCTCCTCATCTTCACCTCGGCCTTCCTCTGCTCCTGGATGCTGTTCGCTATGATCTGGTGGCTTGTTGCCTTCGCTCACGGAGACCTGGAGCCCCATGATCCCGATGGTGAGCCGCGCCCCATTCCCTGCGTCACCGCCATCCACTCCTTCACCTCAGCCTTCCTCTTCTCCATTGAGGTCCAGGTGAGAGCTGTTGCTGGTCTGACTGATCCCGGTGCTGTTTTTTGGGGTGATGTTAATGCTGAGGTCCCGTCTGCTGTAGGTGACCATCGGTTTTGGAGGCAGGATGGTGACGGAGGAGTGTCCTCTGGCCATCACTGTGTTGATCATCCAGAATATTCTGGGGTTGATCATTAATGCCGTGATGCTCGGCTGCGTGTTCATGAAGACAGCGCAGGCCAACCGCCGAGCAGAGACGCTCATCTTCTCGAGAAACGCCGTCATTGCTCCTCGAAACGGTCGACCGACCTTCATGTTCAGAGTGGGAGACCTGAGGAAGAGTATGATCATCTCTGCCACCATACAGCTGCAGGTGACTCCAAGTCTTGAGACACACTTCAGCTGGGCTTCACTCTTTAGAGTCAGTGTGTCAGAGCGGCCTTTCCTAATGTCCAGTGTTAAAATAAAATACTTAAAGGAGCAATAAGCGAAATTCATCATTTCTAGATTGAAGGAATTAAAAAATTGCTATGTGAAGAACTAGAGGTGTAATTTCATCTGGAGTATAGCATGACCTCACACACCCTCTCTCTGTGTTGATCTCCAGCCCATTGTTTACAAGCCGGTCCGGCTGCGCGTTCATGTTCAAACCCGCTGCTTCTTCCCACTTTAACCTGAAGCGATGTTTTAGCCTAGTGGGCAGCCCGCGAGCCAGCTGCCCACTAGGCTAAAACATCGCTCTCTCTCACGGAGAAGAGGAGGAACGTTAGCGTTAGCTCCTGGTGTTAGCACTGGCCGAGTTGGCTGCTACCAGCTACTGGAGTAACTTAACAGTTATGGAGCGCTTCTACCAGTTCCTCTAGTCAAAAACACAGCAGAGACCGAGACATCGCTAACTGCTAGACGAGGCGAGTGGGGGGTGGAGAGCAGAGGTAGAGGGTGGAGTGGCTCATGACACACTTTGTTTTGGTCTACAGGCAGTGCACAACAGCAAACCTAGCGGTGAAATGATTTCGCTTTTTGCCCCTTTAAGTACAGCTGCAGTTTTCCAACCAAGAGCAGCACTTGAAAGTTCAGTTCAGTTCAATTAAATTTTATTTATAAAGTCCAATATCACAAATCACAATTTGCCTCAGAGAGCTTTAAAGCATACAATGCCATATGCTGTAAAGCTTCACCTGGAGAATGTTACAGAAAGAGACTCAAAACGACTACAAAGAGACACAACATGTCTACACAAAGATGCCAAACTACCTAAAAAAACAAAAACCACAACACAAAAATGCAAAATGACTATAAAGTCTCATAAAACAGCCCAATGATGCAAAACCACTGCAAAGAGACATAAAATGGCAACACAAAACTGTAAAACAACCCCAGAGACAAAAACAGCTACATAAACATGCAAAATGACTACACAAATACGCAAAATGACCATGAAGAGACTCAAAATGACTATAGAACGATGCAAAATGACTGACAAGAGTCACAAAATGGCTACACAAAGATGCAAAATGACTACAAAGAGACATAAATTGGCTACATAAAGATGCAGAACGACTGCAGACACAAAATGACCACAGAAAGATGCAGAATGACTACAAAGAGACACAAAATGACTACACGAAGATGCAAAATGACTGAAGAGAGACACAAAATGAATACACAAAGATGCAAAATGACCACGAAGAGACACAAAATGACTATGCAAGGTGCAGAATGACCACGAAGAGACACAAAATGACAACAGAAAGATGCAAAATGACTTAAGAGAGACACAAAATGACTACACAAAGATGCAAAATGACCACGAAGAGACACAAAATGACTACAGAAAGATGCAAAATGACTGAAAAGAGACATAAAAAGGCTACACAAAGACACAAAACAACCAGGAAGAGACAAAATGACTACAGAAAGAAGCAAAACGACTAAGAAGGGACACAAAATGGCTCCACAAAGATGCAGACAAATGCAAAGGGACACAAAATGGCCACACAAGGATGCAAAATGACCATGAAGAGAGACAAAATGACTACAGAAAGATGCAAAATTACTGAAAAGAGACACAAAATGGCTACACAAAGATGCAAAACAACTGCAAGGGGCACAAAAAGACCTAAAACAGTCACAAAATGATCACAGAGACACAAAACAGTGGAGGAAAACAAGGCTAGCTGTTTCCCCCTCTCTATGGTCTGAATGCTAAGCTAAGCTAATTCTTTGCCTGTATCTGTCTGTATCTTCATATTTAGGGTACAGACATGAGGATAGTATCAGTCTGAACATTCAACTCTCCGTCAGAGAGCACATAATTATATTTTCCCAAAACGTAGAACTGTTTGTTTAAAACCTTTGAATGCTGTCAGAACTAAAAACTAAATTTGCCTTTATCAGAAACTCTCCAATCAGAGCAGGAAAGCTACCTACCTGCTACCTTTCCCTCCAGGTAATCCGGCGGACGGTGACGGCAGAAGGCGAGGTGATCCCAGTGTGCCAGCTGGACATCCAGGTGGAGAACCCTCTGAGGAGTAACGGTATCTTCCTGGTTTCCCCTCTGATCATCAGCCACACCATGGAGAGAGGAAGTCCTCTGTACGAGCTCTCCGCCCAGTCGCTGGCCTCTGAAGACCTGGAGATCATTGTAATCCTGGAAGGTCAGGAATCACCTGGATCCTGTTAAGATTAAATTAGACTTACTTTTTTTTACGTTAATGTGTTGTCAAAGAAAAACATCAGCTCTCATTTTGAGTGTTTGTGTTTTTTAAATTAAAACACTTAGAATGTGAATCTCGGACCGCACCATCATGGGTGTCTCTCTTCTTTTAGGTGTGGTGGAGACAACAGGGATCACCATGCAGGCCCGGACCTCCTACACTCCTGAGGAGATCCTGTGGGGGAGGCGCTTCGTCTCCATCATCACAGAAGAGGACGGACGCTACTGCGTTGACTACTCAAAGTTCGGCAACACGGTCCCCGTCAGGATGTCGTCTCTCAGCGCCAAGGAGCTGGACCAGACCAGGGGCGTCCAGGAAGGCAGCTCCGACTCCGTCAACCCACAGGGCTGGGGGCTGGTGCGAGCCGGCAGAGGGGGCTTCCGTAGAGGAGGGCGCACCTGCGACAGCGCCGCTGCCCCTCAGCCCTGGTACACCCAATCAGAGAAGCCAGAGAAAGAGGTGGAGCAGAGAGGGGAAAAGAAGAAGGTGCAGCTGGAGGTGATTGGACGACAGATAGAAGAGGACGCACTGGGAGAGATGAGCGACTGAGAACCAGTAAACTGACAGCGTGCCAGCAACAAAAACACATGGTGGGTTTAGGCAACAAAAATGTGGTTATGTTTATGTAACAAAAACGTGGTTGAGTTTAGGCAACAAAAACAAGTGGTTATGTTTATGCAACAAAAACATGTGGTTGGGTTTAGGCAACAAAAACGTGATTGGCTTTAGGCAACAAAAACATGTGGTTGGGTTTAGGCAACAAAAACGTGGTTGGGTTTAGGCAACAAAAACACATGGTTAGGTTTAGGCAACAAAAACGTGGTTGAGTTTAGGCAACAAAAACACGTGGTTAGGTTTTGGAGAAAAGAACACATGGTTGGGTTTAGGCAACAAAAACAAGTGGTTATGTTTATGCAACAAAAACATGTGGTTGGGTTTAGGCAACAAAAACGTGGTTCGGTTTAGGATACAAAAACACATGGTTAGGTTTAGGCAACAAAAACGTGGTTGAGTTTAAGCAACAAAAACACGTGGTTAGGTTTTGGAGAAAAGAACATGTGGTTGGGTTTAGGCAACAAAAGTTTGTGGTTAGGTTTAGGATACAAAAAACTTGGTTAGGTTTAGGCCCGTCCACCACCCCTCCCGCCTGCTCCTGACTTTCCCTACCTTAACTTTCGTCTTTGTCCCACCACATAGCCCCCTGATGCCGCCAGGCGCCATTAAACTATAACGGCAACTGGCCGCATATCATGCCAACATTAAAGGACGCCTTTTTTTTGTTGGTTTCTGACACCACAAGTCACTGCCTAAGTGCTGGATTTAGACGACTTCAGAGTGAGACCGGGCTCTATATTCTGTGTCTTCAGCCCCATTCAAACCAGACTTATGTCCCCAAATGTACCTTTCCTTTCAGGTGTTCCCACAACATTTACTGCTGAGTAAAGTGAGACACCAGCAGCACACTGCTAACTCTCAGTGAGAGGACCAACTGGATGTCACACCCTCGGCACACTCACAAGGTGCAATGAGATTCAGAACGAGGTGGAAATTACACAACACATGCCCCTTTAGAAGGTCACTGCCTATTCAACTCAACTCAGAATGTTTTTCCAAGGATGGAAAATGGAATATTTTTGTTCCTGGAGCAATTTTACTGTTTGTTTTGATGTTTTCAAGCTGTGATCTGATCCTCCATTTTCTTTGTATATTTCATTGTTTGGACTAAACAGTAAAAACAGCAACATCACATCACATACACCCCAATGTTTATATATTATATATATTATATTGTATATGTCACATTAAAAACGCATGTGTTTATATATTTTATGTACTGTAATAATCTTTATTTATAAAGCACTTTTAAAAACAGAGTTACAGAGTTATGTTTTAGATAGATTTCAAGATTTTTCTGATTTCTTTTAAGGCTCTTCATGGTCTCTCTCCAAGCTGTATCTCTGACCTCTACACCAGGACGTACTTTGAGGTCCTCAGGCAGAGGTCTTTTGTATGTTTCAGAGGTTGCTGAAAACTAAAGGAGACAGAACATTTGCTGTTAGGGCCCCGAGGCTCTGAACAATCTGCCCAAGGAAATCAAATTTCTATCAGAGAGCCTTTCCTGATTTTACTTGAGTTTTAAGTTAATTTAGACTGTCTTTTATTTCTTCAGCTTTTATATACTTAAGCGTTTTCATCAGGTCTTTTAAAAGGTGTTGTTTTCATGTCTTGCCTGTTTTATTTATTGACATATAAAGCAGTTTGTAACTCTGTTTTGTAAAGTGCTTTATAAATAAAGATCATTATTATTATTATTGCAAGTCATGTAAAGCCTGGTATAAGATAGTATGTTTTAAAGCCATATTAAGGCCTGTACTGGTTTTAAATCCTGTAGCTTGTGATATTCATTGTGACACTTCTGATATTGTTTTTTTTAGTTTAAATATGAGGAAAATACTACTTGAATTTATTAAATGTCTCTCTGTGTATGTTATTTATCATGTTAAATAAATCTATTTTTTGTATTCGTCTCATGATGTGTTTGCTGTCTTATGGTAATATTTAAAATGTTCAGTCTATTGAAATAAGCAGGAGAAGAGTCTGAGTCCAGTAATCCCTAATATTTGAAATATTTTTTTTTTATAATATTTATCATGTTATGATAAACTAAAATGTACTTTCATGAATAAGATTCTGCCAAACTAATGAAGAATGAAGATCAGTCTAACATGTTATATTTAGTTTGATGGGAATGACTGTTTAAACTACAACTCCTGCCTCGTGGTTGTATGCCTTCATGAACCCATCAAAAAGTCTGACACATGCCCACCCACCCCCAAGTTATGGCCAAAAAATGTTTTGTGAGGTCACAGTGACCTCTGACTATCAAATTCTAATCAGTTCATCTTTAACTCAAGTGGATGTTTGTACCTAATCTGAAGAAATTCCCTCAGGGTGTTATCAAGATAGTGCATTCACGAAGAAATGCAATGGATAAGGTCACAGTAACCTTGACCTTTGATCTGTGACCACCAAATTCCAATCAGTTCATTCTTGACTCAAATGGATGTTTGTGCCAAATTTGAAAAAAATTACCTTAGGCGTTCCTGAGATTTTGCATTCACGAAAATGAGAAGGACTCATGGTCATGGTGACCTTGACCTTTGACCACTAAAATTTAATTAGTTCATCCTTGACGTGGTCTTTTGAGCCAAATTTGCAAAAATTCCCTCAAGGCGTTTCTTGAGATATCACGTTTACGAGAATAAGACCGAGTAGGTCACAATGACCTTGATCTTTGACCTATGTCCAATTGGCCATTTGTGCCAGATTTGAAGAAATTTCCTCAGTGGGGAAATCGTGAGATATCGCATTCAGAAGAAAGGACAGATGGATATATGGACAGATGGATAAGCCTCCAGCCAAGGCTATCACTGGGATGGAGGCATAAAAATGTTATTCAGGTTTTATTTGTAAAGATTTAAGACATTTAATAGACAGGAGTTGTTACAGGAAGAAATCAGAATCTGGATTTGAAGCACAAATACACAAAGCAAAGACTTTTAATTTTTTTCTTGTATTTATTGTTAAACTGTTAAAAAGTACAAAATTAAAAAGTCATTCTTCATTGACCTGAGAACCTGTAAGACTAGAAACAAACACTCAACAACACATTTAGTTTGTGTTAACTTTACAAAACTTCAGTCATTAAATCCTGAAACACTGAACTGTTAAAACCTGCAGTTATTTTAGATCCAACACCACCAAACGCTCAGCAGGGACCCTGCCAGAGCCAGACCCAGAGCCAGGGCTGGCGTTGCCGTGGTAACAGTGCTGCCGGAATTACACAGGTTGCTGCTGCAGCAGCGGTAGGTGAAGCCGGAGATCGCCGGAAACATCTGGGAGAGACGAGAGTTGTCGCAGTCTGTGTACCTGATACACTGACGGATGGTCTTTCCACCTGAAGATAGAGTCACACACAATAACACACACAGTAATACACACTGCACAACACACAACAACTGAAAAAATACTGTAATAAATCAAACATCAAGAGAAAAATACAAGTACACATAAATTTGAGAATTAATGTGAGTTACAGAAATAAACCAATAAATTACGGACTAAATTAGACATAATTGCCTTCATTTTGCACAGATTTTTATGTGATTATAAAAATGTTAAAATATTAACAATTTCACAGTTATTGACTGTAAAATTAGGATTTTTGCACTAAGACAGTACCCTCAGTCAAAGTAAACATTAAATTAGAGCTGCAACATTAATTATTAATCTCCTGAATATTTTCTTGATTGATCTTTTGGTGTATGAAATGTCAAGAAAAAAGAAAGTAAACCAGTTCCCTAAAATCCAACATGAAGTTTTGCAATTATTAAAAGTACAAAATCTCAAAATATTAATTTACTGTCACATAAAAGACAGAAAAGCGGTAAATCCTCCCAGTAGAGAAGCTGGAAACAGAGAATTAATAATCAATCGGTTATCAAAATAATTGTCATTATTTTTCTGTTGATTCATTTAATTAATCGTCTAATTGTTGACCAGCAATAAAATGCCCTGAAGTGTGTTCTCATTGTAAAGACGAAGGTAGACGAGTTTAGTTTCATGTCTACCTTCAGTAACAGGAGCATAAGGATCAGGTATCTCAGTGGTTCTCAACCAGGGGTCCAGGGACCCACAGGGTTCCTTGAGGGAGTTTCAGGAGGTCTCCAGAAAAATGGGGAGTAGTTTATTTTCACTTTTTACTTCACAACAGAAGTCAGTCAAATGTGAGTATGAGTCATAAGTGTGAGCATTCTAATATTAAGCCTGGTATACACTCTGTAATTTTGGGCTGTACCAGACAAAAGATGACCAACATGAAAGAAACTTGATGATATCTTTGGTCCTGGCTCTAAAGCAAAAAGATGTACAGACATACAGCATTTTTAGGAGTTATGCAGACAAAGAGGGGGGATGCTGATGAGTGGGTTTATTTATTTATCTGTGCTTGGTTGAGACTGTATATTTAACGTATATTTAATAACTAAGACTGTTGTTTATTTATCTGTTAATGGTTGTAAATAAGTTTGGGATAGTTGTTGACAATTTCCTTTTTAAATAAGACATGAATACTGAGAAGGGGGTCGGATTATATAAGTGTACACTTCTTCCTTCTCCTTTTTGAGCGTGTCTGTTGATGTTTTTTTGTTTTGTTTTTATTTTTTTATTTTGCTCATATAAAGTAATTCATACACTCCTTCATAAAACGGTGGTCCTACATCACACAATGACAGAGGTTCAAGGATGGCCGTTGTCATAGTCTTGTGATCAAAGACAGCCTGGGATAAAATTCTGACAGTGTCAGAAATTTGGGATGACCATCTCACTTTGTGACTGCTGTTACGACCTACGTCTACTAACCATCCAATAGAAATGCAGCATGAAATGATTCACTGATCAGCACAACAGTCCTAAATGCTAGTAGATGCTAATGGATACACTTCCAACTCTCCTTGCAAAATTGGCCTCTTTTCCTCAGCCTCGACTGCATCCACATTCTCCTCCTCCTCTTCTTTAGACTTTTTCAACACTCATAAGTGCCACTATAGTGAGGGCTCCATTAATGTTTGCTTTCATTTTCCTCTTACCACTATAGTGGTGTAGATGGATGACATACGCTGACGCCGTTTTGTTCTTGCGTATTAACCATAGGTATTAACATCAATGGACGTACATCATAACTTGGGATTCAGTAGTTATTGTCATCGTACAGTCTGCACACATAAAACTGTTGTACCCAACTTTATCAGATCCATGTCACACGGTGTAGCTGCACTAAACAGCAGGATTTGGGGTTTCACTTCTGCCACAGTTATCTCCTCAGCTGTAGTTTTAGATTCTGGATTCTGGAGGTCCCTGCAGGGAAATTTTATCAAATGGGTGTCTGTGACCTAATGTGTATCAATTTAGAGGCCCTTGACATGATAAAAGTTGAGAAACACTGAGACAGAGTAAAAAGAAAGAGTAGAGAATATTAAGAGACAAGAAAAGAAATAAAAAAGGAAAGAGGGTTAGGAGAAAACAGGAAAAAACAGAAACATAAAAATCTGTTATAAAAATTGTGTTTCCTCCATTAATCAAACACAGATAGCTTTGAACCTGATCAAAAGCAAATCAAGGCTCAAAATGTTTTTTTAAGAAAGGGAAATCATTAGCTATCTACAGTCTTTGGGAAGAGGATTGTTTCAAAATTTACAATTTAGTGAAATCATTGAAAATCCAGAGATGGAAAAGTAGTTTGTCTTAGTATCATTGCAATCAGAATAATATGAAAAATGATAAAATCACAAATAGGTGGAAAGTTACTGGGTAAATTTCCAGTATTTACCCAGTAATTAACTGTACTGTACTTAATAACAATTTGTACTTTACTTGACCCTTTTTGGTACTTTATATTTCTACTCCACTACATCTCAGAGGGAAATATTGTACTTTTTACTTCACCACATTTATCTGATAACTTTTATTACTTTCAGGACCAGATTTTACATGTACACCATCTGATATATGATTTTGAATCCGTATAGATTTAACTATAAAACCAAACATTAAGTGGTTGAATCAGCTCTACTTTCACAATATTAAATTGATGTTTAAATAAATGCATCAATAAAAATAATCCAATAGAGTGTAAATGGCACTCTAAATGGGCTCATTCTGCCTGAGGACTATTTTTACTTATTGAAGTACTTTTTCAGTACCTTTAAAAAGGAAGCAGACTCCCACATCAGGGCTTTATATACCAACAGGAATAGAAAAGCTATGAAAACCCTACATTCGTGCTCCAGGTTTAAGATTCTGTTCTATTTTTGGAATAATTTTATTGTATATCTTTTATTTATCTGTATCAGAATTTGTTTGTAACCCTTGGCATTGTCTGTCTTTCTTTTGCTCCTTACTGCCTGATCTTCCCTTATGTTCTTTCATACTATTGTCTCTATGTTCACAAGGAAATGTGAAATAAAGAATAATAAAGAAAAACTTATTGAAGTAAATTTTGATGCTAATACTTCTGATTTTTAAAGCAGACCTTTTACCTACAACAGAGTAAGCCTAATTGTATACTGTGGTATTTCTACTTTTATTTGTAACAGTGATATTATGTGGTATTAATACTTTTACTTGAGTAAAGGTCTTAATACTTCTTCCACCAATGAGGTCACATATAAATCAACACACAGTGGCTTCAGTGTTTAGTAGTAGAAATACTTCACAGCTCACCTCTCTCACTCAGAGATATACAGGAGTCTTCATACGTGCACTCCTGCACGTTCTGACAGCGTCCTGTGTAATCAGCGCACTTGTAGCAGCGAAGTCCAGAACCTGAAGAAGAAAATGTTTTACTTTATTCAGCACATGCAGTGTTCACATTGTATTCAGTCAAGTGCATCTTGTGAGATGCATGATTTTCCAGAGAAAGTGAGCATTAAGCAGCAGCTTGATCTGTTGCGACCGACAGGTTTTCACACTGGAAAATAAAACTATAAAAGCATGCACAGAAAAATATCAAATCACTCCTGCAGAATGATCCACATCTCTATTGTTCATCTGTATGCTCATTTCCATCTCAGTCCTCATGCACAGTCCTGTTGAGCTCAGGCAGGCTTTAAAGGCAAAACACAGAATCTACGTGGTTCAAATTGAGTTACTACATCTTATCTGACCTTCTGACCTGATCTGTTTTATTGTATAAAAAAATGTTATGCCATAAAAATGTGTAATTTCCATGAAAACAGCCTTTTAAATTTGCAGTAACTACAAAACAGACATTACTTCATTCTGCTGGTATATCACTGCACTGCTATAGAAAGACAGCGAACAAGACAGCTAGAGTAAGAGTTCCAAATCAAGTGAAAGCTAACTGTTGGCTAGGCTAGCACTTGCTAATCTAAAGCTGAGTTTCATCAGTATTGCCTGAAAATAAAACATATCTTCATGACCAGACATTTCAGTCATTAGGTTTGTTATTCTGCATTATTGAATAAAGTAACAATTAATTTAATTCATTTTGGAGAAGAAAAAACAGCTTAACTCTTGCTAAAGATAGCTTAGCATGAAGACAGCTAGTTTAGCATTAGCTGCTGTCTCATGTTTTGACTCTAGAATATTCTACGTGATTTTGTGGTTAAACAACCTTTAAATCACATTTGTGAGAAATCGTAAATCAATGTTATTATATTGATTTCACTATCAATCTTACAGGTTCTGAATGTAACTTTCAGATCATCCTTGTTTTTAATGACACCATTGGCTGTTAGAGAATCGCAGTCAGTATCTTTGCTCTCACCAGTGTCAACGTAAAAACACAAGACTGAACTTAAAAGACCAACATCATGTTGATGTTCATATATTTCATTTGGATCATTGACTTCATGATACTAACTAGCTTGATGCTTGTGAATTACTGTATCGGCTAATGTTAAGTAGCAACCAACAACAGATCCATACAGTGTAGCCCCACTGATAGTTGGCTAATCTTAGCTTAGGTTACAACTAGCTAGTTATCTGCCCCCACCTTGCATCCCTCTTGGCTGGGAGAAAGCTTTGTACTGCTACATTAGTTACTGATGGTTAAATCATCAGCATTTGTCATAATGCAGTTAGTATCATGGATCATGTTAGCTGGTGAAGTAATTTGGCGAGCTAGCAAACTCATGGCCATAACATTAGCGAGCAAGAAAGCAAAGCTTAGCCAGCGGGCTGTAATTAAGCTACACTGCATGGATCTGGCGTTGGTTGCTTCATAGCGTTAGCTTAAATAAATTAAATGTCAAAGCAACCCTGAGAGTCTGAATGAATTAGCTGACATTATTTGCTCAAGAAAGTTTTTTCGCTATGTTAGCTAGCTAGCAAGAAAGCTTACACTAGACAGCATTTGCTAGCTAAAACCACAGTATCACAAAATATTTCATGTCAGTGTTTCCTTTAGGATATTTTTGGGCACCAGGTGGCACTGAATTTGATTAATTAACTGTTTATCAGACCACAAATGAGACAAGAATTAGCTAGTCAGCAAAGGTGGGACCAAGTCATTGTTTTGCAAATCACAAGCAGGTCTCAAGTTTTTGCACTCAAGTCCCAACTCAAGTCCAAATAAGTCAAGATTGACAAGTTCCATGTCCTTAACTTTGAGTTTCAAGTCCCAAACAAGTCATGAGGCACTCATTAGGAAATGTAAGGCCATTTTAACAACAAATAACATTAGCTAAGCATTAGCTCGCAAGGTTAACAACTTCAAATGTCGAATGAAGCTGGAAATTGTTGTGTCCTCATCTGTAGTCTATGAACCAGGTGTTTTGTACACTGCAATTCGTTTTTTGTTGACCACCACATAGTTTTTGTATGCAAACGAAAATATATTCAGCAAAAAGGGAAGGCCTTAGTTTTTCAGTTACGTTACCACCTGTTCATCGATTGGCAGTTGGAAGAAAAAAACATTAATACATTTAAAAGTACATACAGAGCCTTTAATAGTACGCTGACAGAAAGAAACTCAGTCAAACATTTGATTTCTATAACAGCAAATAACCATCAAACCGAAGAGAATTTTAAGACATTAGTAAATACTGTAGTTTATCTGAGTATTCATAAAGATTTTAGGTACTGTGTGAGCTCTATAGCTGTGATTTTCTCGCATAAAACAACCTAAAAAGACACATAATGAAGTTGTTACAACTTTCTATCTGTTTTACAGTTTGTTTCACTGCTTAGGGATATAGGGCCCCACATTACCCCTTGAAAAAGGCCCCAAATACTGCCACTGTAAGGCAGTCTGGGTAGCACTTTACTTTACCTCCCTATGAATTTAAACGCTTAAATCCACTAACAGTCATTAGTGCGTTGTCATCCGGGGTAAATGCAATGCTTTCTAGTCCATTAGTCCTGGGGCCATTATCCTATTTATGTAATATTCATGATTTAAAATCTGCCTGCTCATGTGATGACTTTCTTAGTTCACATCCCATTATGTTGAGTGCCGAGCCGCTCAATACAAACTCTCTCATCACTGAGGGAAAACTGAAGCTGTTGTCCTTGTATCCAGAGTCAAAATAAAGACAATATCCAGAACTTTTAGGCAAAAAGGTCAGACAGATTTAATAGCAAATACTCCTGGTAATTATATAGGTTGTCTTTATATAATCAGCTCTACCAACAATATAAGGTCATTAAAATGGGCTCCACCTTTACCAGCTGCAACATTAAAGTAATCAACATATTGATGCATCAACAATTATAATACAGTAATATGTATTATTCTGAATGGGACTTTTGGTACTTTAAATATATCCTCATACTACTTTTGTACTTTCACTTTAGTACGATTTTCAAAACAGGACTTTTACAAGTAACAGAGTATTTATACACTGTAGTATTACTACATTTACTCAATATCTGAGAACTTCTTCCACCCCTGCTTTTGTTGTAACCGCAGTCTTGAATTTATCTTTATCTATACTATAATATACAATGTTTCTGTGCAGCTTACAACTGTTAAACAGATAAATTAATAAATGTAAAGTTATTCTAAGGAATATAACGTTTGTGTCTGCAGTTTATGATGCGTCCTGGTCCACTTACCTATACTGAGCATCCCACAACAAACCAGCAGGAATAATCCAAGGCAGCGCTTCATGTCGTCTCCCTACAGACGAGGAGTAAAACCAGTAGACAGGAGAAGGCGTTGGGTCGGAGTCCGGCTGGGTTTGGTGTCCCGTGTGTTCCACTGTGACCCTGTGAGACAGGCGGCAGTAAACTGAGAACGGCTCTTTGTCCACTGTACCACAAAGACTCCCTGTCTGGCCAAACGTCCTCCTCCTCCTCCTCCAACAATCACTTGGCCACCGCCTCACTGAGGCTTTATTATGGCTGCAGTACACTGTGTTTATGTATACTGCTTTTCATCTATCTAAGGGTCATCTATAGTCACATTATGTCTCTGCTGTATAGCGATGTACATGGTGATTATTAGCCTTTATTCCACTGTGACTGACATGTCTCTTTGACCCTCACTGACCCTACAGATTTCTGTCACACTCTGCACATATACAGGCTACACAAATATTAGTCAGTGAATAGAAACTCCCTAAATTCACCACATTTTTTAAAATTTGAATTTTACAGTAAGAGATGTTGTCTGATTTGTTAAAAAAGGCAGAATTAAAACTGATTTACAACCTAAATATGAAGCTTGAGCAGAAGAAGACATAATGTCCTACTTTCTAAGGACCCAATTTTAATTATTCATTCATCTTCTAACCGCTTCATCCTCTTGAGGGTCGCGGGGAGGCTGGAGCCTATCCCAGCTGACATCGGGCGAGAGGCAGGGTACACCCTGGACAGGTCGCCATGTGTCTCAAACAACCATTCACGCTCACATTCACACCTATGGACAATTTAGAGTTATCAATTAACCTAGTCCCCAATCTACATGTCTTTGGACTGTGGGAGGAAGCCGGAGTAATAATAATTATATTAAGTAATATTACATATTAAGTAAAAACAGAAGTGTTAGCATGTTGCCTCATGTTAACACGTCTGGTATTCATGGGATACTTTGCGCAGCATCAACAAAATTCATTATATTACACTTGTTATTTTACTAACCTACATGATGTGCTGTAACCATAGCAACCAGACCAATCATGCATCTCAGCCAAAGTACAAGAATTTCTTCCCAAATGTAAACTCCACCAAGTCGAACATTAACACCGGACGAGCTGCTGAGTCAGTTATTACTGACACGTCTGTAGTCAGCTAATGTTAAGTTAGTGCTGCTACATGTATTTAATAAGTCACTGTGACACAACTGACATATAATGATACTTTATTTTATCAACACTTTGAGAAGACAAAGAAACTTTCATTTTGAGTTCTGAGGTTTTTAACATGACCACAGCGCAATGCCCTGTAGCAGCCCAACAACAGAGGTGGAAAGTAACATTTGTTACTGTAACAAGTACATTTACTGTAGGCACTTTAAAGGTCCAGTGTGTTGGCAGAAATGGAATATAATATGATAAGTTGTTTTCTTTAGTGTTTAATCAACTGAAAATACGAATCATTGTGTTTTCATTACCTTAGAATGAGGCGTTTATAACTACACAGGAAGCAGGTCCTTGTCTGTGGAGATCACAATGTTGCATGTCCATGTTTCTACAGTAGCCCAGAACAGACAAACTAAACACTGGCTCTAGACAGGGACATTTACAGTGTTGTGTTAGCAACCGTAGTTAGGAGCCAAAAAACGCCCCACAGATTTTGAAAAAGATTTTTTTTTTTTTTTTTTGTTATAACATGAAACTGCTGTGTTCAGTGTTTTCACCGGTTTAAATCACCTGGGACCAGTTGCACACCTTAAGTTGTTTCCTCAAGTATGACACTTGTGGCTTCATTGCTCCTTAGCTGAGGGACTTACAGAGTTGCAAAGAATCCCTTACAACGTTTCCTGATTAAGGAAAATTGTTAAGGCATTAACTGAGTTGAAAGAGATTTTACAGCGCTAAAAGTTTCCATGGAGATTGTTTATTTGCTTGGACTCACACTAGTTTGCTTATAGGTAGAAAAAATGGCAGAAGAAAAAAGACAAGGAAACCATATTGGTCAGAAGAGGAAAAGGTCATACGATCTGGAGGAACACAATCATAGGAAGCACAAACTACAAAGTATATTTGATCCCCAAATACCAGAAAACGACCGTGGGAAGAAGCAATGAAAACTAATTCAGTCACATCTATAGTGTAAAATCAAAAGCATATCCATTGGGTTCTTCTGGTTGCAGAAAGACGCTTCTCAGGGTGTGTTAGTTTTGTCATTTATCACCATAAACTTGGTCATGTTGCAGTTAAGATAGAGTCAGAGGAACCTTAAGTTGTTGTTTTTTTACCTTGGTTTGGCTGCTAAGATCATTTGTGCAGCAGTCTACAGATCCCTTAAGTATAAGACCAAGACAAGGAGAAAACCATAAATACTTAAATGAACATTTTAAGGAAAGCTTAAGGAGAAAATGTATGGGTGTTTTGTTTAACTGATTTTATTTTGAGGAAACCTTAACCAGGACCTTGAGGAAAATCTTAACTTAAAGTGTTTTGTGCAATTGGCTCCTGGTCAGTTTGTTTTGGAGAGTAAAAACCTCCTGAACAATAAACACTGAAGGAATTCTAACCAGGAGCAGTTTCAGCTGGTTGCAGTCTGCCCCCCACCATTAGAGACATAAATCCCCTTAAATCTTACATACTTGACCTCTTAGTAAAACTCTGAATGCAGGACTTTCACTAGAGTAAAAGTTCAGAGTACTACAGTGTGTCCTCCTCTCTGTGATGTGGGAGACTCTGGCGTTGGTTTGGCATGTCAGTATTTTTGTTGCTCCAGACGCCTCGAGGCTCCAGAAACATTCACTGACGTCATCTCCACAATCCTAACCTTTAAATCGGGTTCAGCTCTTCTTCTCATAAAGGCTTTTCTTAAATAACACTTAACATTTTGTCTTTTACGTAGACTTCCACTTATTATGTTTGATTATGATTATGTTTCATTTATCGTAACATAACTTTATTTATAAATCATGCAGAGACAAAATGAGAAACCCAGTTGAAAGTGCTGATGTGGAGCTTTCAAACAACATTTGTTAAGAGGAATTTTTAAAACTTTGAATTATTGTTATTTCCAGTGATTTACAGACTTTTAAATTAAAAAAGATAAAATATGAAATCACTTTAAATGTAACCAAACTATATTATGCATCCATTTCTTCCTCTTCCTGCTGTGTATAAACAGTGAAGCAATATTTGTGCAACCTTTAACTGCTCTATAAGAATATTTTGAGCCATTATCAATAAAGATTTGTGTATTTTTATTGGTAAGTGTGGGCACCTTGCAGTTTTATACTTCATTGAACTGAAAAAAAATGAGAAGTTAGACTTATAGTTTGTGAGTCTGTGCTGAACAAAGACAAACATTAATGCATAGAAAGTCAGCAAAAATGGACTTAAATGAACCCTAACTGCTGCTTCTGTGTCTGAAAACACACTGGCAGTATTCTTTGTGGGTAGTTTTTTAACTTTGTTCTTTGAAAATGCAAAAAGTTTTCTTGCTCGCTGGGATGGACCGACTGTAAACATCTCAAACTAAATCAAATTATCGTGTTGAATGTCACGTTGTGCAGAAGCTGGTGTGTTTTACCACCTCTTTCTCAGCATTGTCATGCAGCAGAAAGCCTCAGACTGTGAGTGTGATGACACAGAAAAAAGCAGACTTTTCTCTGCAGGGGTTTGGTTGGGATTGATGTGTGTGTGTCATGTATCAGTCCCAGGGTGTGACAGACGTGACGGTCAGCTGCTGCACACAGAGGAGCGACTGTGTCTGCGTCCAGCTGCTGTCTGAAGCTGCATGGATGCCTTTTTGTCCAAACATTCATTTCTCACTTATAAACTACTTCACTTTCCCTGAAGTCAACAGAGAAGAATAAATCTGATAAATAAACACCACAGATATTGACACTATCATTTATTCCGTCCCCTTTCCCCTAATTCTCCATCAGGACGCCTTTTGGAGTCGTAATGACTTTGTTTTTCACTACTTAAAATAAAAGTTATTTATACATTTTTATCTCCTTTCACCTTATTATAAGTTTCAGCACTTTCTCTCTGATTGTTACAGGATGTGGGAGGAGGTGAGTGGGACTATTGTTGTCTGCAATGTCCTGTATCCACTGCAAATATGAATAAACATATTTTTAAAACAATAAATAAAGAGTCAAAGCTTCTTTGCAGGTTTTATTGATTAATTACTGCTCTTATATATTTTGTATTAGAGCTGAACAAACTTAAATCCAACACAGTGAGAACTTTGGTTGATTTGGACAAAAGTAAAGACACAAAAAATCTGTTAAAGTTTCTGCATCTCTCAGGTTTTATGGTTTTGTTTTGCCTCTGGGTAAAAATAACACAATGTTAAACTATGTATTTATAAAAAAAGGTTTCAAGTGAATGTTTAAAGGAGCCCTCGTGAGTTTTAGACCACTGTGATGACGGCAGGACCTGCTCATCAACACATTCAGAGAGAGGTAACTAAGCAAAGTTAAAGTTAAAGTCCCACTGATTGTCACACACCTGAGTGTGTGAAATTTGTTCTCCACATTTGGCCCATCCCCTGAGGGAGCGGTGAGCAGCAGCGGTGCCGCGCTCTGGAATCATGTGGTAATGTAACCCCCCAATTCCAACTCCAACATTTACTCATCTGCTGTACTTAAGATATCCTCATAAAACCGTTACACATGCAACAGTTGATATGATATCAAAAGTGGTGGTTCCCAACTGGTTGGTTGCGGTCAAAAAGTGGGTCACAGGTTCATTCTGAATGGTCTTCAACTGACTCACAACATAGCAAGTTTGTAAAAACACACTTTATTTTTAAGTACAGTAAATTTCCTGCACAGAGCTTTTATTTTGAAGTGCCGTTTTCTGCCGAGAGTGGAACACAAGATGCTAAATGTATTAAACTGTGGGGCCTCAAACTAGTGACTAAGGGTGCTTTCACACCTGCCCTGTTTGGTTCGGTTTAATTGAACTCGAGTTGGTTTGCCCCCTAAGTGCGGTTCGTTTGGGCAGGTGTGAACACAGCAATCACACTCAGGTGTGCACCAAAACAACCAGACTGTGACCTTCTTGAAGAGGTGGTCTCGGTCCGGTTACAAATGAACTCTGGTGTGGTTCGTTTGTGGTGAGAAGGTGTTCTGACCTGGATTTGAACCAACTGCAGTCACATGACACATTGTTTGGGTTAAACATGAGCATGTTACAGTCCTGGAGGATTATTAATGTGCACCTCCTCCTGTACTGCCTTAATATGTACATTCAGCACATCCATTGCATCAAAACATTGTTTTCTAGTTGGAGCTGCGCCTCGTTTTCAAACTGTATGGTTTGACTAAAATGAACAATGACAGCAATATAGTCCACGATGAGCAGTTCTAAAATCAACCTGCGTAGTTGTCCCTCCATTTTGACATTAGAAAGTTTCACATTTATCTTGCAAGTGTACTCTTCTTCAACGTTTGCTTTACTTCCTGGATTTTTCCTGCATGGAAATTCTGACCAATCAAGAGCAGCTTTCTCGTGCAAGACATTTGATTTGGTCCGTAGCTAACTTATTTGTCGAGTGTTTGGTCTGTGATGTAATAGGTCCAATACTAACAAGCTGAAAGGAGGCATACTGCCACATATTGTAGCGGAGTCAGACATATTTTGTGCTGATATACTAGGACATTGGCCTCAGGAGGTGGTTTGAGTTTGGTTCACTTCAGAGGGGTCTGAGTTCTCTTGGAGTGTTCACATGCTGAGTAACCGCTCTGAGTCCATTTAAAGGGTCCCACTTAAAAAAAATCCAAACCATCCCTTACTTATAACCGAGTATTTTTACTCATTACTTTTACATGAGCAAAGGATCTGAATACTTCCTCCACCACTGTGTACACGTAGGCACAGAGAGTAATGATCGTAGCATCAGAATAAGATCAATATATGTGTTGACTGTGACAGTGAACTCACCTCGGCTGAATGAGGCCTTCTGGTTGGTTGGACAGATTTCAGTAATTCTTTATGGAGCCAATCAGGTCCAAGTTCAGCTGTGGTGAGTGTTGTGGACGAATTCCCTGGTGAAAAGGAAGGAGTTTAAAACATGTATATATCTGTGTATGAATACACAAGTAAAGTGTGAATGAAGTGTGAGTACAGCAGGTGATGTCAGACTGCAGGCAGCTGCAGACGCTGGTTAACAACAAGTTAACAGACGCCTGCAGACAAAGGTCATTTCATTGGTCAACACTGAGCACACAAAGAGGTCACAGTTTCACCATCGGCCAGCGTCCATTCACTTTCTGACAGACTGTGGCAGCAGCAGCAGCAGCAGCAGCAGCAGCAGATCACTGCTGAACGGTTCTGAAAGTTCAACTGAAAAGCAGTTTTGGCTCCAAATACATGAAAATTTTCAGAGTATTATGGGGTGTCAGATCTCTTCCTGCCCTCCTTTGTTTTTGTTGGTTGATCTGTTAAGTCTGGTGAAAACATTTCCTTCCTCTTCTATAGACTTGAGCCCAGGCGGCTCTTAAACTTGGCAGCAGCCACTTTTATCTTTTCACGCTCAGTCTCCAGGAGACAAACACTTCCTTCAAAACACAAAATAACTTCAAGTGACAAATGTGGTTATGCTTTGATGCATAAATTGAATACAATCTCAATTAAATAACAGCTTTCCCACTGCTGATGTCGAACCTCTGACACAGCTGAAGTGTGTTTCCTGACTCCTTTCACCTCCTGCTGGGCTCCTCTGTGGTCTCTGGATTTTTTTGAAGGAACAGTTAAACATTTTGGTAAATATGCTTGTTTGTTAAAAAGATTCCTGAACAGAGCCATGACCCACGCACCTTAACTACTTCTTCTTTCCAGGATATCATTATCATCCATATATCGTAGGGGAAAAAAGAAGCTCCTTATAACTGTAGTACTTACCTAGAAAGAAGGAGGCTGCAGAAGTTGCCTGAGAATCACCATGTCTTGAAGTTTACTACATATAAACAAATATGAGCTAAAATAACGAGGCTAAAGATGTAGGCCACAGCTAACTGTCAACTCACAGAAATTATTACAGTTCCTGTTTACACACCCCAAATTCAAGACAGACTTATATTCATATTCTGTGTGACTGCTAATAAACTATCCGGCAAACTTTTACTGAAGACTATATGTAAACAGGCTGACAATAAGGGGGCTGAAAATATGGGCCACAGCTGTTCACTCACAGAATTTGTTACACTTCCTGTTCACAACAACCCAAATCCACGATACACATATTTTTAGATTCAGTATGACTTAAACTCTACTCTCTAAGTTCACCAACTGTCAAAAGGGTGTTCCCCAGAGCATTATGGGAGCTGTAGTTCCAAAAGTGAGCACATAATTATCCCTTAAATACACCTGACAAAAATTTAAACACAGCACTTTTTTTGGCTCCCATTTTTCACAGGTTTAAGTTAAAGAATTAAGATTTTTTTATACTTTCAAAGGAGTTATTTCTCTCAAATTTTGGTCGCAAATTCGTTAAAATAGCTCTTCTCCTTTTCCAAGATAATCCAGTCTTGTCGTTCTGTTGTTTCAGGGTTTCATGCTTTAAAAATAACGTTTTAAGATACCTTACCTTGTACCTTGGTCTTTAATTGCTCTTGTATCATTTCTATTCTTACCTTTCTCATTTCCCCATCTGATCCTGAATGTGTACCTCATATTATTATACGTATTTATTTCTGTCTTTGTGCTGCTGCAACTCTGAATTTCCCCTCTGGAATCAACGACAGCTCATCTTATCTTGAAGGAATGACGTGTAAGATTTAGGGGGATTGAGTGGTAACTAGCAGTGAGGATGGCAGATTGCAACCAGCTGAAACTTCACCTGGTTAGAGTCCTTTCAGTGTTCATGAGTGTTCAGGAGGTTTTTACTGTGATCTTAATTATTTGCAGAGGTCTCATCCTTTTCAAAACAAACGGACCAGGTGATTTAAACCAGTTAAAACAAGCAGTTTAACATAGTCAAACTCTTGTAAAATTGTAAAATGTTCCTTCATGGTGATTCCACTTGTGACAGGTGCAGACTTTCTCCTGCATCCTTAGCAAACTCATCTGGCTGTGTCCTAATTTGTCCATTTATTGGAGTTCGATCTTCAAAACGCTGTCGGATATTTTTAAAATGAGAATTAGCCCAGATCCTCTGACAGCTATTTTTGGCACAGCAGGAGAGGAAAATAAGAATCTTTAAGGATCTAAACTCAAAATAACGAAGGACGGAGGTTAATCCTTCTCCACTGGAAGAACCCTCATACACCGACCTGGACTCGAAACCAAGATTCCCATTAAATGGCTCCTCTGATAAATTTCTGAGAATCTGGAATCCATTTATGGAATATATAAAAGCCAGAATCTAAACCCCCACTTTATTGGTAACTCCATGTGAAGTAAGTCACAATTACTTTATTTTAACATCTTGTTGCAGCCGATCATAATAGGATAGGTCCTGACTGGGACTTTATCTTGTGTAACTGCCTGTTTCTTTAAAGGTTATGTATGGTAAATGGTAAATGGACCTGCATTTATCCGACCACTCAAAGCGCTTTTTACACTACGAGTCACATTCACCCATTCACGCAGACATTCATACACTGGTGGCCGAGGCTACCATACGAGGTGCTTTTAACACATACACACCGATGGAAGCAACATCGGGAGCAATTTGGGGTTCAGTATCTTGCTCAAGGATACTTCGACATGCAGACTGGAGGAGCTGGGGGTTGAACCTCTGATCTTCCAATTGGTGGACGACCTGCTCTACCTCTGAGCCCCGTTGTTTATGTGTGTATCTGTACATCAGTGTACATGGGTATGTGTTTTTTATTTGAGTGTTTTCTTTTACCTTAGCTTATATGTTAAAAAAAAACAACAACAATAAAAATATATTTAAGAAAGTGTTTTTTGAAGCTCTTGTGCCAGTGTTTGGCTTGTCCATTACGGTCTACTGTAGAAACATGGTGGTGCAACATAACGATCTCTGTAGACAAGGACCCGCTCCCTATGTTCATATAAACAGCTCAATCTAAGGTAACAAAAACACAACAATTCTTTCAGGTGATTATAAACTTAAGAAAACATACTAATTATATTTTACTCCAGTTCTGCCAATATATCCCCCTAAATCCTCCACACTGGACCTTTAAGTTGAATATAATATAAATAAGTATAAACTCTTCAGTTGAGACAAAGCCGTTCGGATTGTGTAAACGTCTCATTGCCGTCCAGCTCCTGTTTACTTACATCCCAAAAAGCTGACAATATTAAGCCGTCACCTGACGACAGGATTAATTCAACTGACAAACTTCAGATCAAATGTCTTTTAAAGTGTATTTTTTAAAGCATTTGAAACAGAAGAAACAGTGAACAGAGAAATCAAGTAACCACTCATTTTCTTTTTTGGATCGTGTGTAACCAAAATTCATCTCCAACTCCAGCAGTGAAAAATCTCACAGTTCAGCAAACATCAACAACAACTTAAAGTCGACTCCGCTCCGCTCTGCTCTGGAGTCAGATTACAATCAGCCAAATGTCGGTATAAAGATGAACAGCCGTTAAAACACGTACAGAATAAGGCATAGCACGAAATATTGTCATTCTTAAGTCAAAGATGTTTTTGGATTGAAATGAAATGTGATCAAACCAACCAACAGTCTATTCCTGCGCCGCACATGAATCACCTAGAAAAACACACTTCTCATAAATCGTCAGTCTGACGACAGCTCCGGCAGCATCCTGCGCACAAACATTATGCTCTCAAACACAGGTCCGCTTTATACAGTAATAACTGCATGCATACGATACAGACGTGCACTATACGTAAAAATAAAAACAAAGGTTTTATCTGTCAGTAAAATGAAATAGCTTGGAGCTAATCATACAGCAAACATTAAGAAGTAGTTTGACATTTTAGGGAAATACACTCAACCTCCTGAGACCTCAGCTTTTGTATTAATTTTTATTTGTTTGGGGGAATCATTTCATTGCTAATGTCAAGTCTAAATTGGCGGCCAGAGGGAGGCTTAGCCATGACTACGTGACCCCCAGATATGTATATGTGTGCCATGCTGTGTGTTGCTATGTGTTGTGTATGTTATTTGTCTTAATAATAATAATAACAAAAAACAAGTTTCAACCATAAAATTTGATCACGTTTTGTATCTTGCCGACTTCTGTGTTGCGATCGGCTTGTAAATGGATTAGTGTATTGTGGTCTTGCTAAAACTAGATGGCACAAAAAAGTGTCCATGAACGAGGACAGCAGGTCTGAGTTAAGCAAAATCAAGTATAAAGTGCAGCGATCCCAAAATGTGATGTCTTTCTATAAGGACGCAGGGTTGTGGGAGATTAATTTTCTCTTAGGCTGAAAGATAGATAAGAAGTACAGCACCAGAGCTCAGAGACGATTAGCTTAGCTTAGCTTAGCTTAGCATAAAGACTAAAAACTAACAACTACAGCATGAAACTCCTGTAAAACCCCAGACTGTTAATTTTACATTTGTATTTGTGTAGAGCTTTAATGAGATATATTGTATTAATTGGAGATCTTTAGAGGTGTTTTTCTAATTTCATATTTTTTCCAGGAAGTTTATGACCATGAAACCATGATGTGAAAAATTCAGTCGAAGGCTGACATGAAAACTCATTTGGCTGCTTGTAATTATGGTCCAAATAATTAATTGTATTTCCCAAAATGTCAAACTATTCCTTGACCTTAAAAACACAAAGCTAACCTTACATAACATTTGTAAAAACAAACAAACAAAAAACAACAAAGCAAAAGTGAGCGTCTGCCTGCTGAGTTCATCCTGTCTCAGCTCACTGTATCCGCACACTTACTAAATACAGGCACCTATAACATGATAAAATACTACAGAAGTGTGCGCTAAAAGCAACAGTTAAATATCGTCATGCATTTTTTAAAACTTACTTGAATTACTTTAAGCCTGAGCTTTGGCTGGAAACACCCAAACATGAAGCCGATGCATCGGTGAAAAAGAATATGTTTCAAATATATAACTTGCAGCAGTAAACATCTAAACAAATATGGCAGAATGCAGTATGGCATAGCAGGATAGCACCTTTTTCTTTCGGTTCTTGCATTCGATCATTATGGCACAATCATCAGATTCAAGAGAAAAATACTCTCCTTAAAAACAGGCTCAAAAGCATTTACAATATGTACAGTTTATACAATATATACAGTGTGAAGCAGCAATGTCTGCATTTCTAATAGAAATATAAAGCCTTTATACATCGTTACACTCTAGCTGTTTCGTTTCTGTCAGGCACTACATGACTGAATATCCCATTGGCACAGAAGCTGAAGCAGAGAGCAGCTCAATAGACATTTAGTTTGACACTAATAGATTGTTCCCAAAGTAGAACTGACTTTTATTCTGGCAACAAGTGCTTAATTATTATATATAGAACAAGGGCCACTCAGTAGCCCTCAGTTTAACAATGTTCATCAGTCAAAGGAGTCAGTCAGTTAGAGGAGAAAGATTTCAGCACAACATCCAGCTGAACATGGACGGATATGAGACAGTGGGCCTCTGGGAACTAACACGCATCAGCAATCAACTGCAACCACGACACAGCTACACACAAGTTTGTAGCTTGTGGTCGTTTGCGGTTGCTGTGTCTCTTTGTACGTCTTGTGGTTGTTCTGCATGTATTCGTAGTTTTTTGCGTCTTTTTTGTGGTTGATTTGCCTTTGTTTGTAGTCGTCTTGTGTCTCTTTAAGGGTCCTTTTATGTCTCTGTGGTTGTTTGGTGTGTTTTTGTGGTGGTTTTGCATGTATTTGTAGTTGTTTTGTGTCTCCTTGTGGTTGTTTTGCCTCTGTTTGTAGTCATCCTGCGCCTCTTTACAAGTGTTTTGCATCTTGTGATTGTTTTTCATCTCTATGTGGTAGTGTTGCATGAATTTATAGTTGTTTTTTTGCCTCTGTAGTCGTTTTGTGTTTCATTGAGGTTGTTTTGAGTCTCTTTATGGTTGTTTTGCCTCTGTTTGTAGTCATCCTTCCACCCCTTTAAGGTTGTTTTGCATCTTGTTGTAATTGTTTGTCATCTCTTTGTGGTAGTTTTGCATGTATTTGTAGTTTTTTGTCTCCATGTGTTTTTTTTTTGCCTCTGTAGTTGTTTTGTGTTTCTTTAAGATCGTTTTGACTTGTCTCTCTTTGAGGTCCTTTTGCATCTTTGTGGTTGTTTCGCATCTTGTTGTGGTGGTTTTACGTGTATTTGTAGTCATCTTGCATCACTTTAAGGTTGTTTTGCATCTTGTTGTAGTAGTTTTGCAAGCATTTGTAGCTGTTTTGTATCTCTGTGTTTTCTTTTTATGTCTCTTCGAGGTTGTTTTGCATCCCTGTGATTGATTTGCATCTCTTTGTAGTTCTTTTGTGGTCAGTATGTGTCTCTTAACTTAACTCTTAACTCGGCCATTTTGCACGTAATTGTGGTTCTTTTGCATGCCATTATAGTTGTTTTGCGTTTCTTTAAAGTTGATGCATGTCTCTATGGTCATTTTGCTTGCCCGTGGATGTTTTGTGTCGCTTTGTGTTTTTTTGGCATCTGTTTGTGGTTGTTCTGTGGTCCATGTGTGTCTCTTTGTAGCTGTTTTGTATCTCTTCAATCGTTTTGCATCTCTTCGTCATTGTCTTGCATCATTTTGTAAACATTTTGTGTCTCTTGTCGTTTTGCATCATTTTGTGGTTGCTTGCTTCTCTTTGACGTCATTTCTAAGTCTATGTGTAGTTATTTAGTGTCTCTTTGTAGCTGTTTTGTGTCTCTTCAGTCATTTTGCATCTCTTTGTGGTTCTTTCACGTCTTGTGGTTGTTTTGCCACTGTTCGTAGTCAGTGTGTGCAGTGTATGTCTCTGTGTTTATCTTGCATCTCTTTGTGGTTGTTTAATATCTCTTTGTGGTAATTTCCGTCTCTTTGTAGTTATGTTGTGTCTCTTCAGTCATTTTGCATCTCACTGTGGTTGTTTAGCATTTATGTCTCTGTGCATCTTTGTGGTCATTTTGTGTTTCATTTTGCAGCTGAAGCCCATAAGGCCCCCTGAACATTTGGGCCCCTTGGCCGGTCTGCTGGTTTTGTAATCTATCCATCCAGCTGAGGTTTTCCCAGTGATGCAGCTCAGTGGTTCCAAATCGTTTTTATGTCACACGTTCCCCTACAGTCTTTTTCTAACTAGGTTTTTTGCATTTTTACTCGACCTATAGATCGACTCTAATTGGTGGAAAGCTGTGGCTTGTCTTTTGCAGTCCGACTACCATAGTTGGTAAGATATTGTGAAAATACTACAGATCAGAATCATGCACATTTGTAATCCTGTCATCCAAATTTGTGTGTTGATTTTTTCTAAATATAAATGTATATGTGTTCTCAAATCATAATTTAGATTTATTCAGATAAGCTGAGCATCACAATCTTTCCATGTAGCCTCTGGTAACTGCAGAAGGAGCCCTGGTTTGGAATCGCTGGTGTCGTTATCGTTAGTTCAGTGATGTAGTGTTATTTTGTTGCAGCCCTACACCACTGGGTCCGCCTGTTAGATGTCAGAGTAGAACTCCGTGTTGACGTCGACGTTGTGTAAGACAGACTTCTGGTCGCCAGCTGACATCCTGTTCAACACCTCAGCTGACAGAGAGTAACTGCTCCCAGACTTCTCCTCAAACCAGCTGTCCAGCGCTCGCTTCCCATCGAAGTTAGCGATTGGCGGTCCGTTCACGGCCACAGTCAGCAGGTCGTTCATCTGCTCCAGAGTCAGCCGGGAACGATTGTTCCTACACATCTTCTGAAGAGAACCTCTGCCTTTATCGCAGCAGGCTGTGGAACTCGGGAGGACTCTGACAACCTGCACAATCCGATTCAGCAGAGGGAAGCGCTGCTTGTACCTGCAGATGTGACTGATGACCTCCTTAAAACCGTTCATGCTGTAGTAGTCTGCCTTCAGATCCTTCCATTCCACCACCAGGCTGCCCCTGGCCTCGGTCCTGGAGCCCTCCTGACCTGCAGAGGGAACGGACTCCAGATGGTTTAATATCACCTGGATTTCTTCCTCCCCGTATGCTTGTAGCTCCTCCTGGTTCTGAGGCCAGGTGGACAGGTCCAGGACCTTGCAGGCTTTGGCGAACGAGCGACTCTGCAGATCCAACCTCTGAGACAGGATGCCCTGGCTCCTGTTGCAGATCTTTTCCCGTATGGATTGAAACTTGGACTCAGCTACACGCAGGTTCTTCAGAGCAACGCCATTAAAACTTTCACGGAAGTTTTCCTCAAACTCCTGCAGATACTCTCCGGGGCAGTCCACCAACTGTCCAATCTCCAGAATGGCTTCTTCTATCTTGGCTTCCACCTGTGACACCAGCAGGTAGTCTCCCTGGAAGTTGAAGGCTAATCGTGAGAGAACAGCTATGATATCCAGGAGGAAGTAGATGAGCTTTACGGACTGATAGTCCATGAGGAACTGGAGGAGGGTAAGGGCAATGGCTGCAGCATCAGCTCTGTGTGTCTGGCTGCTGATCTCCTTCAGATGGGCGACTACCTCCAGGTAATCTTTGATGAGCGCGTTAAGGACATTTGGTTCTCCTATGATCCATCGAATGGCTCTGATGTCCCCAAGAAACTCTGTCTCCTCAGACAGTGTTGGAGCAGTGGATCGCAGCTCGGCCATCATGCGAGGGGAGTAGCGATAGAAACTGAGGAGCTGCTTGAGGTTGTTCTCCAGATCCTCTAAGCAGGGGAGCTCCTTCCCACTGATGGCATCCAGCACCTCCAGATGGGGCCGATGGATCATGATTGGAAGGCAGAGAATCCATGGAAAAGTCTTTTGTACAGCTATGTACAGGTTGCCTCTCATTCCTGTAGAGATGTTGGTGCCATCTACCCCCAGACCCACCACCAGCAAGTCCTGAAACCTGAGGCCGAGGACGCCAAAGGCTCGATCCATAGCCTGCAGATATCCGTCCACACTGGGCATGCTCAGTCTCTGCAAGGACAGGAACTCTGTGTTTGGGGAGCCCTCGTTGGTAATGAACTGAACGTAGACTGCCACCATGTCTGAGAAAAGGTCATCATTTTGGGCATCCATTATGACACTTAGGAAAGGTGACAGACGCATCTTCTCAGCCAGGTCTTCTTTTAAAGCCCGGGCGATGTGGTGGAGGAGGATCTGACAGTCTCCGTCATTCATGTACTGGTCCACCACTTTGAGCTCACACCTCTTCAGAAGCTCTGCCAGTGGACGGAGGTCGGAGAAGGGCCGTCCCTCCATGGCCAGGTGGTACGCTGCATTGAACAGCAGCATCATGTTCTTGCACATCTCCTCAGTCTTCTCTGGATGCATGCGCAACTTGTATAGCTGCAGACACTTTTTATGGAGGTTGCTCTGACTGTGGAGCTTGATGGTGTGGATCTTAAACTGCTTGGAGCCGATAATAAAGGCAGAGGTTCGGGATGACTGGACGGTGTATTGGCGGCAGACATGGCACCACATCTCATTGAGGGTCGGTGAGTAGCGAAGGAACCAGAATTTTTTCAGCCACTCTTGCTTGAAGCGACGAATCCGCCGGCCTCCTCCAGAGGAAAGCTTCAGTGAGTCTTCCGGAGAAATCACCAGATCTGCAGCAATTGACTCATCAGCCGAGTCCACGTCCTGGTCATCTTCATCCAGTACCACCTGAGTGGGCGTCAAGGGCTCCATAACTGCAAAGAAAAATATATTCAACATCTGCTGCCAGCTTTAGGCCCCATTCAGACAGAGCATGATTTAGCAGATTTTTGTAATTGTACTCAATCAGAGTGAAACTTTTTGCTCCTTGCTTTTGAAATGAATTGAAAAAACTTCAACTCAGAGCGGAAAAGCATCTGCCTTCATTGGTGTTTATTTTCCCCATTGTCCAATCAAATGAATGGAGAGGCCGGCCTTCTGTGGCGATGAAAACAAACTAGTGGTGGCTGTCAGTGGATACTCAGTGTATGACTTTACCAACCGTAGTTACTAGGGATGGGCATGTATTTGTTCAATATTTAGTGTAATCATCGCCTAACATAACACATTTGAGCATAACTTTTCTATTTTTCTTTAATTTAAAATGGGTGAAATCTTATTTCACTGTAGAGCTGCACGTAATGTGTCTCTCTAACATTACCTAACAGTTAATAATAAATCTAATGACAGAGTCAAGTTGTTTTGTTGTCGGTGTGAGTTTGTGGCACCATTAAAGGGCTCTGTATTGGATGTGAGCCTCTGCTGAAGTGTTAACTGGGCAGATGATGAACTGACTGGAAGGAGAGCAGCTGTGGACTCCAAAGACAGACATTCAGTGCTGCATCTAACCTCTGTAACTGCAGCAACTGAAGGTTTGCTGATATTTCTCATTTTAACTTTGACTTTATGGTTTAACAGGCTAATTGAAGCCTGGTTGTTCAATATATAAACATAGAATTGCACTTAATTTTGATTGTTGTCCAATTCACATGCCTATTCTTACGGGTTTTTTTTTTTTTACTAGTCGAGTACTTTATACTATTGTAATGGGAGTACTAGAATATGGGTATTACTTAAAATGCCCAACCCAAGAAATTAGCATGGTCTGAAAGAAACAGAAAGAATGTTAGCTAACAGCTGCTTAACGTTAAACCCTTGATGTTAGAAAGTTGCTGATGCAACAGTATGTTCAGATATGTCTCGCAGCTTGCTGAAGACAACAGGGAAAGTTACAAACGTTAGCTTAACACTGTCCATAAACTGTACACTACTTAACAGGTAACTAGTAGTACAGTCTAAATTCATGAAAACAACAACAAATACTAGTAATATTTTGCCTCCAGGTTGTTTTCAATTAAATTCATGATAACTATGGTTCATTCAGTCACACAGCTCCAGGTATCCAGCAGCAGCCACCATTGGCTGGCTGCTAAAAAGTGCTCTGTCTTACTTAGTTACATTGCACAATGTAAAGGACTGTGTAAGCCATTTTGAGCCATGCCAGCAGGATGGCTCTGTGGATGGTAATGTCTGATGATCCAGATTAAATCTCAGCAAGAATTAGAATGGATTGCCATGAAAGTTCGTAAAGACATTTGATGACATGGATGATGTGCTGACATACTGCAGCAAGAGTGTTGTGTCACTTCCTAGGGGTCTGTGCCAATCAACTGGACAGTAACCAGAAGTCTTAATGGACATTAAGTCACTGCCCTGTTTTGTGAAAGACTTGTTGGAAATCGGTGCAACAAGAATGTCCCATAATATGGACCAACTCCAACTGCCAGTTTCTAATCACACAAACTTTGAATTGTGCTTTACAGGTTAATTATTTACCAAGTTGAATTCTCAAGGAGGCAGGCCATTAAATCAGCAAAATAAAATTACAAAAATCCCCCCTAAAGTTTTCAGAATGTACCTTGAAAATCCTCGACGGGGCCCTGCTCAGGATGGGGCGGGGCCTGATTGTGTTGCGCCTGGATCTGTTCTGACATTGATGAACCAACCACGTTGCCTCGTTCTCCTCTGACTCGAGACAGCTCCTCCTCCAGCTCCTGGATCCTCCTCTTCAGTTTGACACAGTTGGGGCAGAAGGAGGTGGAGGGTTCCTCACTGTTGTGGTTCTCCTCCTCTTTCTCCTCCACCTTCAGGTTTGGGACGTTAAAGCTGCCTTCAGACGAGTTGAACCCGGACCCGAGGACTGGCGCTTTGCACTCACTTTGGAGGGAAGACTTACTGGAGTCCTCAAGAGAAGCCTCCAGGACGTCTTTGAAGATGAGGTCGATCTTCTTCCTCTTGGTGGGAGGCTGACCGTCGGACTCTTCACTGGGTTGTTTACTGGGGCTGGGTTTGCCCTGCAGAGCTGACTGCAGGCAGGAAGATTTAAGGTCCTTCTGAATGTTGGGCAGGACTGTTGGCTTCTCGGTATCTGCAACAAAACAGGTTTATTAGTTATAAAAATCTGCAACTCCGGAGAACTGAGTCTTGACTGAGGAAATCAGTCAAGACTTTCAAACTGATGGGCTGCATCTCACACGTCATAAACTTTTGTTTTGCGAGAATAAACAACCACAACAGCTTGATTATGAGGTCAGCAAGACGTCTGAGGATCATTAAAAACAGTACATTTAGCTGTTTTGGACCAATGCTCGCCTCGGGCACATTAAGGAGCCCAGGAGGTTCCTAATCAGATACCCAAACCACCTCAACTAACCCCTTTCAATGCGAGGGAGCAGCGGCTCTACTCCGAGCTCCCTCCAGATGCCTGAGCTCCTCACCCTATCTCTAAGGCTGAGCCCAGCCACCCCACAGAGGAAACTCATTTCAGCCGCTTGTATTTGCAGTCTCATTCTTTCAGTCACTCCAGAGCTCATGACCATAGGTGAGGGTTGGGACGTAGATGGACCAGTAAATCGAAAGCTTTGCATTCCGGCTCAGCTCCCTCTTCACCATGACGGTCTGGCACAGCGCCCGCATCATTCAGAAGCCGCACCAAACCGTTGATCCATCTCACGCTCCATTCTACCCTCACTCGAGAAAAACCCCGAGATACTTGAACTCTTTGCTTGAGGCAGCAACTCTCCAAACACAGATGGTTGTTTGAATACATGTTCTGATAAATGTTTTATGGCTTGATCCATCATTGTACATTTTCAAACTAACTCTCTGATTTGGTACTGATTTGTCATTTAATTTAAATGTTGACTCATACGTAAACTGGACATTGAAGTGAATGTCTATAAGGATAATAAGTCTCCTGACGCTTGAAGGGCCTCAAAATTGAAATCAACATAAGTTTGACTTAAGTGTTGGGCTTTCAGCTGTGGTCAGAAAATTAGTTTTTGTATTTTTCTCCATTATTAGTCTCATGTAGTCACACCTATCTCCACAGTGCTGTGACAATGCCATAGGAAGGTCTTGAATCACAGATTATCTTTCTGCTATAGGGGCGTGTTATTGTTTCTTCAACTCAATCACAGTCGTCTTGGGTGGCACTAAGCCCAGGATGCAGCAACAGTGCTCTTGCAAAACAGTGTCAGGGCTGAACTTGTTACGGTGGAACATTTACACATGGTGAGGCAAGCACTGTCATAAAAATGGCCCCACAAATGAAAAAGCTACAAAAAAGTCGTAGAACAGAACAAACAGTCGTGTGTCACTATGTGATTCAACTTTTCCTAATAAATAAATTAAACAATTTTCAGCATGCAAGTTGCAGCTTGGTGGTTGCTGTTGTTGTTTCCCATAGCGTAAGGGGATTTGGAAACCTTGACACGCAAATCCCAGTATAGGGTATTGGCATACTGAAAGGCATACTGAAATCAGCTGTCCAGTGGCAGGCTTATAGCCACAGTCTACATCTAATAATTCAGACAGCTCCATTATTAACAGTCTATGGAGCAGATCCGGAGTCAGTCCTCAAATGACACATTACTGCACTTCCTGCTGTTGCTCTATTTCAATTAAACAAAACTCACCACAGTGTCGGGATTAAGGTTGATTTTTCCCTGAGAATGTCAGAGCTAACAAAACAGAGCTCTCAGTGTGACAACAGCACCACCTGCTGGAGAGCTCAGAGCTCAAACTGTGATGTATTAAATAGTCTTCACATACAGGTGTGATTCATTTTATTCAAATTTGTCAAATAATGACATTCTGAGGAAAAATTTAATTAAAAAATAGGCAGAGTCCAAATCGAACCAGCAGCTCAGGTGCATCAGTCACAAAGAGACAAATCTGGACAAAAAAAAAAATGACAAAGTGAGCAGAGCTTACTGTTAAACATACAGAGGATGAATTAAATGAAATTTTTGAACACTTAAACTACAACACTGTACTGACCAAGCACCTCTCACACTCTCAACAAATGCTGCATTTACAGCTTTATTTAGATCTTATGGAAAATAGGTGTTGATCAGAAACAGCTTGCTGCCCGTCAGTGGAACAACAGCTGATTCCCAGAGCTGAAAAATTAGAAACTGCCTGTCCAGCTCAGCTTCTCTGTGTCTGTCTCACCTGTGTCCAGGTTGCGGTCGATGCTCTCCTGAGAGACACAGTGAAGTCGTTTGATGTAGTCGTCGCTGTACCAGACCCTCAGCTTCTCTCCTGCTGCCAGCGTCCGACACACTCTGAAGTAAATGTTTTTACCACGTTGAAACGCTGTCAAGTTCCTCTCGATCTCCTCTGACGAGGTCCGCACGAACCTGCAGGTCACAAAAAACCAACAGTCTGTCCATCTACTGCTCATCTCAGCTCTGACACAGTTTATTATATCAGTATTTAGTGCAGACACATGCAGAGTTTTACATAATGTCAAATTATTGTATATTAAAATAAAAAGTGTTACCTCATCCAGTTGGCTTTGGTCTCATCGCTGCCATCGATGGATTGATACGTGTTGTTAAAATCAACAATCTGGAATGTCACAATAAACAGAAAACTAGTTTACAGCTGCACTGGTTTGAACCTGGTTATAAACTGTGACTGGAGCATGTTTAGACTGGTTCTAAACCGGTCTTGGACCAGTTAAACTTACTATCCAGGAAAAGAAGCCGGAGGACTTGTCCTTGGACACCAGCTCTCCCTCGTACGGGCCGAACACCGCCCCCTTAGGGATGTTTGGATCCAGGCAGCGGACATCCACCTCGTTCCCCTCGGTGAAGACCTCCAGGCCTGACGGGACGGTGAGCGCCGCCCTGTTGGCTGACCCCGGGGCCGCAGGTGTGTCAGGGACAAACAGCGGGGGCCCGTGGGACGGACACTCCTTCTGGAAATAGTCCTGGCACTCCTCACAGACTGGAGGACAAATATCAAAGTATTAACATCATGTCAGGTCTTTACCTCTAACAGCTCTTTAAAAAATATACTGAGGTCAGTTTTTTACACATTTTAAACCCTAAACCTAAAAGAATGTAGAAGGTTTTTTGGATACATCATAAAGGAATAAAAACACTCAGCAGAGACCAGATCTTAAAGCAATAGCTCAGACTTTTTGAAGTGGGGTCATATGAGGTACTCATCCATAGTCAGTATATTACCTACAGTAGATGTCAGTCGGCACGCCTCCTGTTTAAAGAAGCTGGCAGGAGTCCAACACGAAAGCTAAACATTGTACTGCTGTGGAGGGGGGCTGCAGAAAAATGTATTTTAGACACCTAAAAAAATCAATATCAGTTGAAGTGTACGGTATATTAAGTATATTTTCACCACTTTACCTTTCCATCAGACAGCCCGTTCTGACAGGGAAACTGTTACCAGCTTCAGTTCCCCATCTATGCTCTTGCCAAAGCCAGACTCCATTGACAAAAACAGTAATTTTAGCTCTCTGAACACAAGAGCTGCTGGTCTACTGCTGCCTCCACCAGACAGTTAGTTTGTGTTAGTGTTACTTTGGTGATTCCAAACAAACCCATTAAAATGCTACAGTCACACAATAACACAAACAAACTAAGTGATAAAGGCAGCAGTAGACCAGCAGCTGGAGGTAAGGTAAAGCAGTGAAAATATTCTAAATATAGCGTACAGTTTAAGGTCCAGTGTGTGGGATTTAGGGGGATATATTGGCAGAAATGGAATATAATATAATAAGTATGTTTTCTTTAGTTTATAATTACCTGAAAATAAGAAACATTTTTGTTACTTTGAATGAGGTGTTTATATCTACATAAGGAGCAGGTCCTTGTCTACAGAGAGAGAGAGATCACCATGTTGCACCACCATGTTTCTACAGTAGCCCAGAACAGACAAACCAAACACTGGCTTTATGTAGGGACATTAGTGTTTTCCCCATCAGCCAACGCAGATAGAAGGCCCTTCGCGATATGCAGCATTGGAAAAACACTGAAACTGTAGAGGTGATAGAGCCTTCTCGGTGGCAGCCCCCAGTCTGTGGAACAGCTTGCCACTGCATGTAAGAGCTGCTCAGACTCTTGAACATTTTAAATCCCGGCTGAAAACCCAATTCTTCTCACTAGCTTTCAGCACTAGTTAAGCATGAGATCTTGGTTTTAGTGCTATTTATTTTATCTAGATTTGTTTTTATGATGTTTTATTGGTTATTTTATTACGTTTTATTGTTTATTTTTACCATGTGTTTCAGAGAGGGATGTTTATATTTATTTTATTTATATTTGTTTATATGTATTTACATGCATAGCCTGTACAGCACTTTGGTCAACTGAGGTTGTTTTTAATGTGCCATAGAAATAAACTTGACTTGACTTGGTCTATTCCGTGTTTTTACTCATTTAAATCACCTGGTCTGTTTGTTTTGGAGAGGAAGAGACCTCTGTGGATAATTTGGCTCCCGGTAAAAACCTCCTGAACAATGAACACTGAAGAAATTCTAACCAGGAGAAGTTTCAGCTTGCATCACCGCTAAATGCCACTAAATCTGATCGATAAATCTAATGATACTGATTTTTTTTAGGTGTTTAAAATATGTTGCTGCCCCCGTCCACAGCAGCACATTGCTTAGCTTCTGTGTCTGACTCCTGTCTGCTTCTCCAAACCAAAGGCGTGCCGACTGACATCTACTGTCGGTATTACACTGACTATAGATAAGTACCTCATACAACCCCACTTCAAAAAACCCGAACTATCCCTTTAATCACCCCTCCCTTTAATATTGATTTTCCAGTCACAGCTGAGTAACTGTAAGGAGCTAACTTTGGTCTGCTGTTCCTGAGAACATCGTCACAGAGCTGCTAACATGGCTGCAGATTCTCAGTCTGGTTTATTGATCGGTTATTGAAAGAGAAAGTCAAACTCACACCAGAGGTCCAACGACCGCTCGCTCATGGTGGAACCATGTTGGTGGAAAACAGCACGTCACAACTCTGCAGAACAAAAACAGAACAGAACATTATTTGTTACTGCAACATGTCAGACACAAGATATAAACTCCTCTATCACAGTGGACACACACCTTATAACATTATATAGGCAGTAACATAAAGATGGCTGCTGAGTGTGACACTGATGACACAATAAGGATGTTGATGTGTAGCCTTTGACGTATACTGATGTTTTTCTAAAGTCATTACTGTGTTTAATGTTCTAATATTTTTATAGTACAGGTGGTACAGTGGGTAGCAATGTCGCCTCACAGCAAGAGGGTTCCTAGTTTGAGCCTTTCTGTGCAGAGTTTGCATGTTCTCCCCGTGTCAGCGTGGGTTTCTTCCAGGTACTCCAGCTTCCTCCCACAGTCCAAAGACATCTTTCTCATTTCTGTTCATAATTTTGTGTTTTTTGACATTTTCTAGTGCTGAATTATTTTTTATTGACAGTTTAGTGTTGTCTTTCTTAAACTGAGGAGAGGTTTGCTGTATAAACTTATGGCCTTTATGCTGTTGTGTATGTGCACTTTAAAAAAACTATAACCTATAAATAGCTGCTGATTATGTCCACTGTTACATGACACGTCTGTTCTGTCACCGTGAACGGTCTTTAAGGTATTTTAATCACGGGGAGTCTGTCGTCCACCTCCATTGTATTCTTCTTTGTTGTTGTTTGTGCTGTTAATACTGTTTTCTTAAATGAGGATAAATAAATAAAGTGGTAGTTGTGTTTATCATCGAGTTAGCCGATTACTTTCTTGATTACTTTCAATGAATCTGTTAGTCTTCGAAATGTCTGAAAATAGTGTAAAAGTGCGATCCAGAAAAGGTTTGGCATTTTTATTAGTTAAAAAAAAACAACATAAAAATGATCGAATCAATTTTCACAACAGTTCCAGAAACATTTTTTTTTATTTTTTATTTTTTATTTTTATTGATTAACAGTTTCGGCTCTAAACATCACAGTCATGTACAGGACTTAGGCTTTATGCTGCAGTAGAATAAATAAATGTTATTTAATATCAGTTGGACAATTTGTGACATCACAACTAGTTTGGAGCCAATCAGGGTGCAGAATTAAACATTGAGGAAACATCTTGTGTCCAGAAGTTAAACTTTAGAAATCAAAAATTTACGGCAAGGCGGAATAATGGCGTGAAATTCCCGCCGGTGTGAACGGTGGTCACTTTATACTACATGTCACTTTACAGGGTGTCTACAGATATAACCAAGGTATGAAACTCAGGCTGTTTCATTTGCTATGGTTGTGGCGTGGAAACTTATTCTACTCATGTGGAAGTCGGATTGTGCACCAACATATGATCTGAGGATAAGAGAGCTGATGGATGTATTTAGAAAGGTTAGGGTTTGCTAATAAGAATAAGATTCAAATATTTGTCAGAATTTGGAGCCATGTACTCGAGTATCTCAGGGGTAGTGACATAGTCTAATTGAGTAGCATTATATCCTCTGTCTCTGTGTATATGTATTTTGTTTATTTATTCTGTTGAAGTCCTTGGCCTTTTCTTTCTACCTATGAAGATATATTGTGACTGCGCTGTTACAGTGATGTACTGAGCATTTGTTTTATATTGAAAATCCTACAATAAAGGTTTAAAAAAAGACCCATTGAATCAAAGTTTAAGACAATTCAAGACTTTTTAAGGCCTTATATTAAGAGAACTTAATTTAATTAACTTAATTTTAAGACTAGACACCCTGTCTTACCTCTCTTTTGAAGTTGCAGCTCTGTACAGATTTATTTTCAGTCTCACTTTGTATGTACATTTTGCCACAGCACATTACTCTACATGCTACTACTGATTTATATCACTTCATATTTTATTCGTGTTATTATCATCATGATTATCATTGATGCATACTTAAATTACATTGTTGGAGGAAGCCTTAATGGTAATGACAGCTCTTGTTATGTATTTTTTTCTGTTTATTTTATTTTATTCAGAAAGGAGCAGTGCACATTAATTAACTTGATCACTTAAGTCACAATGTGCCAGATTTAGACATACTGCTGTGCATTTGACCATAAATATGTGTAATATATATATTGCATGTATTTTGTTTTGCTTACCGTGTTCAGCATCAGTCTGACTCTGATGTAAGTTCATTATCAGGAGTTTATAGACATATTATTATTAGTAGTAGTAGTATTAGTATTATTATTATTATGGCTTGGACCCTACAAAGACTATAAACGGATAATAATCAGTCATTGCAGCTCTTTTTTCTCTGCGGACATTTTATTATTAATAAATCAGTGTGTTTATATATTCAGAGGGTTATTAAACTGTGGCTGTGATGAGAACAGTCCTCCTCCTCCTCTTCCTCCTCCTCCTCCTCCTGCTCTCTGCAGTCTCAACACAAACACTTCACAAACACTCATAAACTAAACTTGTCTTTAACTTTGTCTCCGTGTCTCCACATCATCTCTGATAATCTCTGTTAATCTGTCAAACGAGCAGCAGCGGCTCGGTTTTAATCTGCGCCACGTTTCTGTGCTCGGCTCTGATCTGCAGACAACAACTGGCAATCTGCCTGCTGTTTTCGGAAGCCATTTTCGCTGGCCACAGTGGCTACCGACACAGACCCACCTTGTGCAGAGACGCAGCGGGGACACGGACCCTCCGTCCCGGGTGAAGCTCCGCTCTCCCCTCCCCCGGCCGCCGAGCACCGAACCCCGGCCACTGGCTCCGCGGCTGCCCGCCCGACGATGCAAAGTTTCCCGTTAATTTTTTGCAGCGACTCGGTCGCCTCCCCGAGCTTTGACCACCATTTTTCATCACAGGAAATGACATAAAGAACGGAAGAAAGACTGCGCACAAATTAAAGTTAACAACAGTGGGAGTGAGACGGGACGGTGGCTCGGTCTCACCTGCACGGCTGCACGCGCACCTTTTACCTGCTGCAGCTGCTGCGAGTCACGCGCTGCCTTTCATCACAGCCTTGTTTATAACAATACAGTACCATATTATAAAGGAATAATACAAGATAATATAACGGAATAATAATTAATCATCAGTATTTACTTATTACATTATTAACCAATGAAGGCTACTTAATTATCCAGAGTTTAAAAAACGTATCAATTTACAAATTGACGCATTAATTTCTTAATAAGAAGCTCTGTAAATTAAATTAAATTAAAATACACCTAAATACAGTTCTATATAACTTCAGATACCTTACTACTGTCTATTTATTTTTTAGAGGTAAATATAGCTGTATTTTACATTTATGAATTAACCCTTTAAGACCCACATTTTTTGGGGGGGAGGGACAGAGGATCTTTATGTGGAGACAGCAGTTCAACAGTACATGTCACCCAGAAGTGTTATACATCATCTGAAAGCTGGGAACCTGAAGATTAATATGAGATGCAGCTAAAAAATATATAAGTCAGAAATATGTAATTAGCATTATGTTTTTTGTTAGGTACCTATTAAAATGTTTAGAGTGTATAGGGGCTTAGAAGAGTATGATGGAAGTATATGAGCGATATTCCTGTGATCAATTGTGTCTCATAAGTTGTTGCAGCCATTTTTGGGTTGATACCATTGGTTTCACAGTTTTGTTGCTAAATATAAGCATTATTGATCACTCAAGAATTGATAAAAATGGTCAAAATCCCTCCAAAATACCATTTACCGTCAGAAACACCATAAAAAAATCCATGCCGTTATCTGGTATAAACAACTTTTAATATTTGGAGATTTGGCGACTGGATGGCGACCACCTCTGTCCTGGAACCTGCTGAGAAACCCTCTTATTGTGAATATAGCTACGAAAACCATCCATACTCTGAATGCTCCAGGACTTTAGTTTGTGGTTGTAAAGTTTCATGAGGCTTCGATTATCCTAGAGGTCACTATGGGTCATTTTATACAGGGAGGTCTGTTTCAAAGAAATGGCTACTATTAGGGGTGTAACAATACATCGATCCACATCGATACATCAATTCATTGATTAACGCTCCGATTATATAGATGCAAAATGAAAACATCGATCCATATCGTCATCTTAAAGATACACATTTATTTTGAAATTCACATAGCACGTCTGTGTCACCATTTCTGGGCAAGCGCGCCTCCCCTCAAACAAACAGAGCTCAGAAATAAAATGGTCAAATCATATTCTAGTTGTTTTTGTGAGTTGATATACAGTACAGGCCAAAAGTTTGGACACACCTTTTCATTCAATGCGTTTTCTTTATTTTCATGACTATTTACATTGTAGATTCTCACTGAAGGCATCAAAACTATGAATGAACACATGTGGAGTTATGTACTTAACAAAAAAAAGGTGAAATAACTGAAAACATGTTTTATATTCTAGTTTCTTCAAAATAGCCACCCTTTGCTCTGATTACTGCTTTGCACACTCTTGGCATTCTCTCCATGAGCTTCAAGAGGTAGTCACCTGAAATGGTTTCCACTTCACAGGTGTGCCTTATCAGGGTTAATTAGTGGAATTTCTTGCTTTATCAATGGGGTTGGGACCATCAGTTGTGTTGTGCAGAAGTCAGGTTAATACACAGCCGACAGCCCTATTGGACAACTGTTAAAATTCATATTATGGCAAGAACCAATCAGCTAACTAAAGAAAAACCAGTGGCCATCATTACTTTAAGAAATGAAGGTCAGTCAGTCAGTCCGGAAAATTGCAACAACTTTAAATGTGTCCCCAAGTGGAGTCGCAAAAACCATCAAGCGCTACAATGAAACTGGCACACATGAGGACCGACCCAGGAAAGGAAGACCAAGAGTCACCTCTGCTTCTGAGGATAAGTTCATCCGAGTCACCAGCCTCAGAAATCGCAAGTTAACAGCAGCTCAGATCAGAGACCAGATGAATGCCACACAGAGTTCTAGCAGCAGACCCATCTCTAGAACAACTGTTAAGAGGAGACTGCGCTAATCAGGCCTTCATGGTCAAATAGCTGCTAGGAAACCACTGCTAAGGAGAGGCAACAAGCAGAAGAGATTTGTTTGGGCCAAGAAACACAAGGAATGGACATTAGACCAGTGGAAATCTGTGCTTTGGTCTGATGAGTCCAAATTTGAGATCTTTGGTTCCAACCGCCGTGTCTTTGTGAGACGCAGAAAAGGTGAACGGATGGATTCCACATGCCTGGTTCCCACTGTGAAGCATGGAGGAGGAGGTGTGATGGTGTGGGGGTGTTTTGCTGGTGACACTGTTGGGGATTTATTCAAAATTGAAGGCACACTGAACCAGCATGGCTACCACAGCATCCTACAGCGACATGCCATCCCATCCGGTTTGCGTTTAGTTGGACGATCATTTATTTTTCAACAGGACAATGACCCCAAACACACCTCCAGGCTGTGTAAGGGCTATTTGACCAAGAAGGAGAGTGATGGAGTGCTGCGGCAGATGACCTGGCCTCCACAGTCACCGGACCTGAACCCAATCGAGATGGTTTGGGGTGAGCTGGACCGCAGAGTGAAGGCAAAGGGGCCAACAAGTGCTAAACACCTCTGGGAACTCCTTCAAGACTGTTGGAAAACCATTTCAGGTGACTACCTCTTGAAGCTCATGGAGAGAATGCCAAGAGTGTGCAAAGCAGTAATCAGAGCAAAGGGTGGCTATTTTGAAGAAACTAGAATATAAAACATGTTTTCAGTTATTTCACCTTTTTTTGTTAAGTACATAACTCCACATGTGTTCATTCATAGTTTTGATGCCTTCAGTGAGAATCTACAATGTAAATAGTCATGAAAATAAAGAAAACGCATTGAATGAGAAGGTGTGTCCAAACTTTTGGCCTGTACTGTAAATGATTGTGTTAGATGGGCATATGATATCGCGTCATATCAATCGCAGGCTCCTGAATCGAACTGAATCTAAATCGTATCTTGTTAGACTTTGTGATATCGGCAAACATTGTATCGTCATCCAAATAAATCGATATAATGTCATATTGTGATGAAGCTGGTGATTTACACCCCTAGCTACAATGGGAGCTAACATCATCACACATGAATAAAACTGGGCTCATTGAATCCACAAGAATCTCAGCTTTCCAGTCATACCTGATTTATGCAATTCCCTGCAGTTCTAAGATTGTTAAGTGACCCCCGTATGCAGAAATTCCCAAATACACAAGGCCAAAATTACACATTTATACCGTATGCAACAAAAACTGCATCATTTTTGCTCCACATGCATGCGACTAGATATAGTGACCGTGTCTGTAAAGGGGAAACTCGCAGGTACCCTTATAACTAGGGGTGGGAATCACCAGAGGATTCACATTTAGTCACAAGACAATATTATTGCGATATGCTGAGTATCACGATAAAATATATTGCATTAATATTGTGATTTATTACCTTTTTTAAACTGTAAATTTTGTCCTCAAAGGAAAACTTTGTCAACATCGGTTTTATCCTATAAGATAAAGTTTTTAGTCTGGTCATCAACCTCTTTTTCTGCAGCAACAAAGTGTATCTAGTGGATTGAAAAAGCAATTTATTAGATTATTCTAGTAGGCTCGCTAAAGTTTAATTTGTATTTGTCATATTAATAATTTATATAGTAAAAAAAGAAAAAAAAGAAATGAATGAAAACAAAATATGGGATTTTCTCAAATGAGAACACAGGACGTGCTTCACAGAGCAGATGTTTATGCTGCAGTAAAATAAATAAAAGTTACTAAATATCAGCTGCACCTCAACACCTCTATGTATTTGCATGATTTATGACATCACAACTAGTCTGGAGCCAATCAGGGCGCAGTATGAAACACAGACTTCACAGTGAAGCAGGAGGCATCTTGTATCCAGAAGTTAAACTTTAGAAATCACCAATGTTTGGTAGGGGAAGGAATCACCAGAGGGCCCCCTGATACGATGGCATCATGATACAGTATTATCTGATTTTAAATGTTTAGCTATATAAGTATTGAGATCAAATAAATTGCGATGTATGACCTTTTTTCAACTGCATATTAAGGAAAATCTTTGTGACAGTCAGTTGTTATCTTATAAGATACAGTTTTTAATCTCTTCAGTAATTTTTACTGTTGCATCTATTGGAACGAAAAAGCTATGGATTTTATTACTCTCTTTATTACCAAAAGTTAAATTTGTTGTTGCAATATTTATGATTTATATACAAAAAAAAAAAAACAGATACTTGACATCTGTGTATTGATACAGCATTTCCATACAAAATACTGCCATACTACACCGTATAGATTTTCATCACCCCTAATATTTACAGATTGTGGATTTTTACATGACGGAGGAGGAGATTAAGTTTAAGAAAATAGTTTATTGAACTGCTTTATGGAGAAATGTCATCAGACATAAATGTTTCCATTAAAGCAGAGTGTAGTGGAACACCTTCAGTTTGTAGAGGATCTCTGAGAGCAGCGAAACGTGTCACATCTGCAGGTTGCACATATACAACATGTGGCGTGACACGTTGGCTTTATGGTACTGGCTGAGGCTGTGATTCCTGATGTTGTGGAACTTGAACACCCGGGAACCTCTGATTAACCCTTTGCCTTTCATGGACTTGTCCGAGTGGAGGCGGCAGACGTGGCACCACATCTGATCCAGCGTCGACGAGTAGCGTAGAAACCAGAACATCTTCAGCCAGGCCTTCTGGAAGCGTCGAGTCACACGACGACGACGCTTACACTTGGACGAGCCCATGCCTGGGTCATCTTCACCTTCAGGAATTGACGACAGAGGCTCCATCCCTGAGAGGGCAGACGGACACATTTAACATGTACTTGACATCAAT